AGTGTCCATGTATGTAAATATATTCTAGGGTAGTGACACAAAAATACATAGGAACAAACTCTAAGTACAACTTCTGAAAATGTTCTGAAAGTCTCCTAGCTAATTATTACAAACCTGCTTTCCATTTACTGCCAATGAATAAAGGGTACTAATTTGAGTTTTCTTACTAATTGTTCACAACAGCCAGAGTTGCACCCTCTGCATCTGATCCTGTAAATGTTTTTCATATCACAAAGACCCTTAAAATTACAAAGATGCCACAGTGCCAGTTTAGTTTTTGACTCTCCACTCCAACAAAAAGTAGGCTTACAGCCAATTCAAGCAGCTAACTGGATTGTCACTTTAGAAAGAGAATCCATAAGAAGTATAAAATTAATAACATTTTACAATGAAGCAAATAACACATGCAGAGACTGGAACCACTGTGCCTTCTCTCCCTCTTTAGTGAACTGTGAACAGCTTAGTCAGGCAGAGAAAGTCCCACAGCCAGTGGAAAACCTCCTTCTCTCCCTCCCGTCCTTCAGTTCAGCAACCCATTCAAACATTTGTCTGCAGGGATCGGGGAAAAAGGAAAAAAAATAAAATAATAATTAAAAAAAAGATGCTTCCCTTGTCTCCTTTGCCACCACCTGTCCTAACTTCACATGACCAAGATGCAAATAGAACTAGCATCCTGGGTACAAAAAGGTGCACAGGAGCACAGGATCCCTGATACCTTCATACTCTTCCTCATGAGAACAGTACCTTACAGGTGGTGACTGCAGACATTCATTTACACTTGAGAATTAACTGGCTGCTTGGGTGATGTTTGGCATAGGAAAGCCTACCAATACACGTGTAAGAGCATTTTCTGCTGCAGCTTCAGGAATGGATACCAAACTAAAAAGTACACAATTGGGTGTAAAATAGCAGCTTAGCTAACATGATCATTATTTACTTGCTCAGAACTAAACAGCCTATTAGTGACAACCAAAGACATTTTCCTAGAGCTCAGGTACTTTGCTTTCAGTGCTTACAGTCATAGATTAGGTTCTCATGAGCTGCCATGTATATCTGAAGTGACAATAGCAATTTATACATAAATTTGGGTGAAACATGTGAGATACATCATAATGGAGAGAAAAGTTTTACTACGAGTTTTGATGTACTAGTTGAAACTTTGTGCTTTCTAAAAGCAAGTCCCAACCATATGCATGACATTTTAAAGTGCCTTATTCCAATCCTGACAAATGAGCACCAGATGTTTCTTTTATTATACTTGCATTTCATATACTCGTTCAACATTTCAGGCTCATGTGAAGATCTAAGAAACTCTCTCTGACCCACCTTTCCCCCCATAAGAAAGAGAGCTGCAAGAAAGAACAAAATCAAGAATAAAACATAGTAATTCAGATTAAATACAGCAAATACTTGAAGGAAGAACTGAAGTCTTTTTTCACGAGGAGAAAAAAAAGACAGGGTGAGAATAATGTCTGGGTTCAGTTATCACCAAGCACAGACCAATTGTTAGAAAGTCTCTCACAACGAACAACACTTTTTTTTTTTTTTTTTTACTATTATTATTCCTTTCAAAACAGTTGTGCTCTGAAAGGTTCCTCTCAGCCTATAAATGCTATAACCTAGAGATTAAAAGGCCTGTAATTACATCTGAGCATTCTGGCTTCTCTGCAGGCAATGGTGGGGATGAGGTTGCTTCCATGGAGGAGGGAGTCTGTTTCTTTAGGATTTATTGGTTTAATTAACTGCTTTATATGCCTCTTTTATTCCCAGAATAAACTGTTCATTCTCTCTAGCCTCACTGCCCACCTCGCCCATTCGAAATCCAGGCCAAGCTGTCCTCTCACCAGTACCCTACAAAGGTGCCTTGGGGTGGAACTGCAGGGTGCCAGTCAGAGAGATTTGTTCCTGCAAGTGCTAAGTATTATTTTCATTCTTGTTTGGCTCAGTCTCTGGCGGCTTTGATTTTCTTTTCCATTTTCGTTTGTCTCAAAAACTTTTCACTGCTTGTTGACTGAATACATAGAAAGGCTTGCTTTCTTGCTAGAGAAGCAATTCAGTATTTAAATGCAATCTTAAAGCAATGTCAATGTGTAGGGATCACTTCTAAAGTGGAACTGTAGACTGTATTAGGGTCTGATTCTCTGTGGCTCTTGCTTTTGTCTCAACTACCCTGACAGTAACATGCTACAAAGCTGGTGTGTGGATTATACATGTTTATACATTGCTTTTCAAGAAAAACATCCAAGTTCTATGTGTAACTGTCTTCCTAGAGCTTGTGAAGGGAACAAATACCTGAAATGAATGAGCAAACAGTACAAATATCATTCCAATTCGCTCCCAGGAACAGTCTCTTAGCAGTTTCCAAGGGGCACACCGGGTAATGTAAACAGAGGAATCTTTCTCCTTGCCACAACTGTTCAGAGTCCCTAAAGGGTAAAGGACTCAGAATGATTAATGTGTCATTGTGTACGCCAACCCCTTGCTACTACAAGGAGGTGGAGATTATCTTGATGCTGCTGCCCCACAACGGGCAGATGGTATAACTCTGCACGCTGACACCAAGCTCTTTGTTTCTGCAGTGCCTGCAGGTGCTACAGTTTCTGCGAGTGATCCTACCAGAACCCTAACATGGAAAATCAAACCTGAAATTGATAGATCAGCCCTGAAAGGGACCTGTCATCCAATCCAGCCCTCTGCAGGTAGTTATGTTACATAGTCCCATTCCAAAGTGACCGTGTTGCTCCATCTTGATGATCATGAGAATACATATTCATGTCATCTCTGTACACATGCCCACTTCAGCACACACCACCCATAACTGCAAATACCATTACCACTTTCCTCAAACCCACTAGTTAAGGAATTATTTAGCATGGATGAGAGAGAAGAGCTGGCATGTCTGACAACATTTGAATACTGCAGTGTTCATCTAACTGCAGAACTGAAGTTCTAAATTAACTACCCAGCCTTTCTGCTTTATGGAGGTTCAGGTGTCTTTAAGACCTTCATAAATCAAGGCTCACTTGGCATTTGGCTTTTGAGAAAGGCCAAGCAAGTGTTGAATTGTGAATGCTGATCCTGAATTATGATTGCAATAGCTGGCCACAAGGGCACTCAACCTATTATTTCTGAAACTAGCTGTTCGGCTCTCAGTTTGTCCTCTGCAACTGTGCTTTTGTTCGGGAACTGCCTTTTGCAATTTTTGTATGGCATCCCAAGGGAAAAAAAAAATAATATCTTGACCTAAATCACTTGTACTTGTTCACAATACCAAGGTGACTGTACTGTATTTTTAAATACATCAGGTTTTCCTTTGTAACATTAAGAAAAATGCATTTAAACACATGTACACTCATAAAGTATTATTCTGATTAGGGTTAAAATATCCACACAGATATGGAGCATGCTAGTGCTCCAGAACAAGGGCAAACATACAGAAACACACTCTTGGTAACCATTCCAAGAAGGCAGTTTATCTAGAAATCAAACATGTGGCACACTGCTTCAGATTATCCTCTTGATGCACCAAAGCAGCATCTAATCAGCTTTAAATCTTAACAAATACAGATTTGTGTCATAAGTGTTGTAGGAAATAACCCACAGTCTCACTCTGCACTTGCAGGAGAACAATACCAACCATTTCCCGTGAAGGTCTAACGGTCTGTGTACAAGGTTAATACTGGTACATAGGAGAACTCTGCGTGATGTGAAAATTCTGGAGGGATTAGAAACACTTTGACTCTCAAAGATTACATGACAGTACCACAGAATTGCAGAACCCAGTCATGGACATTTGGACATAGGGTGAAAGTGGGATATTTTAAGCACAAATTTAAATGGAAAAATTCTTAGGAGAATCCTGGTAGGATGCATAAATACACTAATTTACCTGACTACTGAAACAATGCTTTCCAGTGTATCATTAGTAACTGAAATTCAGTGTATTAAAGCAGCTTGCCTTAAAAGCCTCTCAAAGCTCAATCTAAATAATAAGAGAACTAAGGATTCTGTAATTACTTGTAAGAGTTTTACCCAGATTTTCATTCTTGACTGCAGAACTGTGTTAAGACACATTCAGAATTCCTGTTTTGGTTGTTACTTTGCTTACTCTGACAAGCTCTATTGATCTCGGTGAGCTTTGTGTACACATAAAGACTGATTAAAAACTGTGAAAGGCCACTGATCCTTTGTCTTTAGCTTAAAGCCTCAGGGAAGCCGCTTTGTTCTCCTGAACTTTAATTCTAATTTTTTTTTTTTTTTTTTTTTCCCAGCTCTAACTTAAGCAGAGGCAGTAAATGCAACATGAAAAAAGTCAGCTTCCAAGAAAAGTCTTATCTTTTTTGTCACCCTCTGTCACCAGCTTCCTCTCCCTCCCGTGAAATTAAAGCCAACTTCGGCACTCTGGCTGGGGAAACGGGCAGTGCTGCTCAACATTTACAGCAGCTCCAGGATCCTTGGGAGACGGCTGTTTGCGAAGTGACCCAATACCTACGATAAGAAGTAAATTTGGAGCTCAGTCTTCCCTGACTGCTTGGCATTGCTCCTCCACACCCTTGACAAAAGCCAGCCAGCCTCACTTTTCAGTCAGCAACTTCCAGCCCTGCTGCTGCCCGAGTCCCTCACGTTTCCCACAGCTGCCCTCACGACACTGAAGTGCATTATTGTTTTTTATAGGTCACCCAAAAAACGCTGACTGCTTTAGGACAGCTACAAGCACAGTGGCTGATGCCTCAGCCCGCTGGGGTCGCTGCCTGCGTGTGACGAGCGGGAGAACCGGGGGCGGCCGGGCGGCGAGCAGCCTGCTGCCCATCAGCGGCAAGGTGGCAGCGTCCCGGCCACGCCGCCAGGCAGCCAGGGAGGGACAGGCGCTCCCCGGGGACCTGCAGCAGCCGGAGGGGACGCGTGAAGGCGGCGGGACCAGCCCGCGGCGCCCTCAGCCCCGCGTTACCTCAGCGGCGCTGCTCAGCTGAGGCGCGGGGAGCGGAGCCTCCATCGCCACATGGCGGCGGCAGAGAGCGCGGCGCCGCCACCGCCCCTCTCTATCGTCGCGGCGCCGAGAAGGCCTCATCACTGCGCGACGGCGGCGACAGAAAGCCCGGTGGCCCGGCTCAGCCCCTCCCGGTACCTCACGGCTCGGACCGGTACCTCACGGCCCCTCACGGTACCTCAGGGCGCGTCCCGGTGCCTCGCGGCCCGTCGCGGCTCGGCCCGGTAGCTCAGGGCGTGCTGTGGCCGTGAAGGAGGAGTGGTGGTGGTGGCGGTGGGGGTCCCGTGGGGAGGCGGGGGTGCCCCAAGGGCAGCGCTTTCTTCACGCCTGACGCCTGTGCCCACCGCGTTTTGTCCTTGCAGAGCGGTGTTTCTGAGCCTGAGTCTTATTGTTGAGCCTAATGGGTTTTCTCCTTCCAGAGCATTCCTGTTAAGATTGCTTCCATAAAGACATGACCACGCAGGTAAATGAGAACTTAATTTTAAGTGAAGTAATTGTTGGTTTGATATATATACTATATATATATTTTTTAGGCTGCTTATGCATAATACTAATTATTTTTTCTTTCTAGTACGGTATTCTCTTCAAGCAAGAGCAAGGTGAGAAGATGCTAATATTTATTAAATAATACTGGCTTCCTTGGGCAATGTAAAGCAGATATGTGTCTGAGATCACCTGGGTTATGTTTATATGACATGTAAATCTGAATAGCTTAAACATATCTGTGCAGTTTTTCAACAGTGACCTTGGTAAACATAGACCTTGTGTGCCTTGAAACAATAAAAGCAGTGATAAGGCTCCCAGAGCACTGATAGACATGAAGTGCAAGGGGGTCTGCTGCTAATATTAAACAGGCAATTTTAGCATTACCAAAGCCTACGTCACTTTTTTTGGTGATTGGACTCTCATACTGAAGTAGTCCCAGGAGAAGTCTGTAGGTACTGTGACTAGAGTAGCACGTTCTTGCTGCAGCAGATGCAATAGACTTATGATAAAAAAACTCCATGGTTTTTGCCTGATAAACCAGCTGCATATGCTTTAAAACTTCCTTTCATAAAAATGTCAAAATACAGCTACAATATAGACCTTTGTCAGAGCAATCTTAAAATTGTAAAAGAACACAAAAAAGGGCAGTTTCCTGGTTTAAATTGAATTACTCTGTGTCATGTTAAGACATTAATTGGGCTATCTGCTCTGAATATTACATAGGTGTCCAGCCTATAATGGGAAGTAAAAATTGGTTGTTATCTTCCATCAAAAGAAACCACTTTAACTTTTAGTTTCTATGTTTATATTCTCTTTTAGCTCATGATGATGACATCTGGTCAGTTGCCTGGGGAAAGAACAAAAAGGATGGTTCTGAAATTGTGATCTCTGGTTCTTTGGACGATCTAGTGAAGGTCTGGAAGTGGTAAGTGAACTGCTCCATACTGAATGGTTAAAACCGGTTTTAACCCTGGGAAGTAGTCAGTGTGGAGTTAAAGCAACCTTAAATTTCCACAACAGGTAGCATGGCACAGCTCTTGAGCAAGCTTATCTTCATTGGTACATGCTTTTTACAGGAGTGGTAGCGTTCCAATGTGCTTTAAATTGGGAAGAACACAAACCCTTCTGAAAATATACATTGAATTTTATATGTCTTCTGCTAGAGAATGGTAGAACTTGATGCATTTTGAAACCAAAGAATTAGAAATGAAGCTTTTTATGAGACAATGCATTGGGGGCATGTATACTGTGAAAGGAATAATGAGAACAAAGTAAAAGAGAAAATGTTACCTTCCTTTCTTACTAAAAAAAAAAAAAAGAAATATATCTTCATAATCCTCATACAAGTGACACTGAAGTGTACTTTTGCAATGTTTTCCTCTCTCTTAGCCAGGGCAATATTAAGTCTGTGCTTCACTTTAGTTACTTGACTAGCTTTGTGTGATATTCTAAAAATGTTAGTCATTGTTTCATGTTGAGCTGGCAGATTGGGTCTGCTGTGCAAGTAGTCATATACTGCTGTGTGATGGAGATTTCTGTGGGACTCCTTGCAAACTTAAAATGAAGTACATGCTTTTCAGAAATACGATAAATGATTTGTTGTTTCTTTCCTTTGAGTACAGTGAGCAATTTGTGCATAGCTGTCCTCACTTTCCATGGTTACTTCTGTTGGTTGACAAGAATTGAGAAGTGTGGGTTAATTTGTTTATTTGTTTTATCTGAGGTTGGATTTCAGTTAAGTACCTCCAGCTATTCATAACTGGCCTTTTCTTTCCCTTTAACAAAAGGAATGGTGAAAAATTGAACCTACAGTGGACGTTAGAGGGTCACCAACTAGGTGTGGTATCTGTGGATATCAGCCACACAGGTTCCATTGCAGCATCCAGCTCCCTAGATGCCCATATTCGCCTTTGGGATTTAGAAACTGGCAAACAGATCAAGTCAATAGATGCTGGACCTGGTAAGATATCAGTGTTAATCTGTGTGTAAGAAATTTCCTAAACCTAGGTGGTAACTACTGTACGTTGTATAATTAGGGTATATGAGATGACTGGGATTTTTTAAAATCTTTCTTGATTTGCAGAATCTTAAAATCTGAGTGATTTTTATCAGCTCAACATAAAGTAATATCAGATGATTTTACATTTGTACACTATTTACCCTTTTTTAGATATGTTTTCTTGTTAGATAAAGCAGAATGGAAACCAGCTTGCTCTTACACATACGTTAATATAAAGATATTTTAAAAAATGATCCAAACACTTACTCAGACTGGTTTACAAAGAAAGTCTGAGTCTTGATTTCTAGTTATATCTGAATTGAATTTAAGCCATATATGTGATGCTTATTTATGCAGTACATCCAAGCCTAAGGGAACAAGTCAAAGTAGGGGAAAGCTGAAGTCTAGACTGATGTTGCATTCTCTGAGTTGGAACACAGGGCCTAAGATTTTATTGTTACTTCATTGATCCATTGGCAGTCCCTTAATCAAGAACAATCTTGGAGTGTTTTAGGTAATTAATCATAAGAATATAGAAAAATCTGTGAATTACGTTGTGCCAGATAAATATATTATATTACTCTGAAAGGTTTTTTAATTCACTTGTAACACATGTTGATCCACGTTAAATTCATATATCTGCATGATTCTTCTCCATCTTATGTGCATTGCTAACTGCTAGTTGTTGCTTTCTTACACTGGTTCAATACCTGTCAGCATGAGGAGAAAAGAACGAGTTTATACTTAACATATGCAGCCTTAAATGCTAAATTTGTTGGTGCAGTAGGGGCTACTAAACTTGAGATCTTAGTAGAAAATGTCATCTTTCACTAAACTTAAATAAATATCTCATGCTTTACTCCATTAAAAGGAAGTTCACATTAATGAGCTTGTATGCTCCTGGAGTATTTAGTAGAGTTTGGAGTATTAAGAGTAGCCAGGGATAAATGTCTAAACATATGCGTTCTGAACTGACATTGGATAAGGACTAACAACAGTATTCAGATAACTGAATGTTGGTTTTTTGTTTGTTTTTGTTGTTGTTATTTTTTAATATAGTTGATGCTTGGTCTCTGGCTTTTTCACCTGATTCCCAGTACCTTGCAACAGGAAGTCATGTGGGAAAAGTAAATATTTTTGGTGCTGAAACTGGAAAAAAAGAATATTCTCTGGATACCAGAGGAAAGTTCATCCTTAGCATTGCATATGTAAGAACAACTGATCATCTCTTATATGAAATATGTGGTAATATGTTATAAACCTTTTTTTTTTTCTTTCATCACTTTATTTCTACGTGATATTGTCGACCGTGCTTTGTGACAAGCCGCTAAGAGCATCGGGAGGGGAGGTACATAGCATAAATTCATACAGTTGTTAAATGCATACTTGCTGTGTTTTATTACAGAGTCCAGATGGGAAATACTTAGCCAGTGGAGCGATAGATGGCATTATCAATATTTTTGATATTGCAACTGGAAAACTTTTGCACACGCTAGAAGGTAATGGTTTGCCTATTTGCAGTACCTAAGTTCTGGTTTCATTCAGGAAAACTGAAAGATATAAGTCAGAGTTGGATACAACAGCCACAGCATAAATGAATTTATGTTTTTGTCCATTAGGTTTTATTTATTCATTTACTTAATTTGCAAAATAAGAGGCAAACTGTAAACTCAGGCTTGTAGCATAAATCCCATCCCTATCTTAAAATATCAAGTCAGTAATGCTTAACTCATTTCTCAAATTGCAGTTGCTTCTTGTATTGTAGTGCACTACAAGTGAGACTAAGCCGAATCTATGCTGCTATATGTGATTTTTCTTTTGAATATGGTATCAGATTTATAGCAAAGTATTCTTGTTTCAGAAAACAACTGAACATACTATGTTGTAAAAGATACGCATTTTTAAGGTGTGAGCTTTTACTGTTCATGCAGATTCTGCCCAGTGCATAATATAGAACCCAACAACTTCAAACGTTATTAAATCATGTTAGAAAACATGACGCTTGTCATATTAGAAAGCATTGTGAGATCAGAAAATTATGTTTTCCTACATCACTTCTAATTAAGATCCTCAGCTGAAAAGAGTACTTTTGTGTTGCCTTGGACATGCTTTAACATTCAAAGCTCAGAATTATTGCCAGTTCCCATTGTATGTTGTGTGAAGAAGCCAGCAGACGCATAGAGAAGTTGCTTTCTTTTAACAGGGAATGCTGTTCTGATGTAACTCTCACTACTATTACTGTCATTAGTAAGCAGTAGAGATAAATTCTGAGCCATGTAAAACTTTGAATTTCAGGTCATGCGATGCCTATTCGTTCACTGACATTTTCTCCAGATTCTCAGTTACTTGTAACTGCTTCAGATGACGGCTATATCAAAATCTACGATGTGTGAGTTTTCATTTTGCAAGATATGCTAACAGTAAAGTAACTGTTCCAAAAAGCTGAGGATGTAAAAAATGTAAAATTCCCTTCGTCTTTTGGACAATTCTTTATTGAATAAGTAACCTTAGCTTAAATAATAAAATATTAAATCTTCTAGTTTTTAAGAAGTACATAGGTAGATGATAGTCTTAGTTTGAAATCAGTTTTCCTCATATTTGCCCCTGTAAGCAACAGGTTAATTGTTTTGTATATCTGTCCTGTGTGTTTGTGTTTACACATCAGAAACATCTGTACCTACCTGAAGTGACATTGTTTACTTTTTTTTCTCTTGCATTGTGCCAAAAATTGGAGGAGTTTCCTGGGAAGGAAAAGGCACTGATTCAGTCATCTTCCCTCCTCTATACCTGCATTACTGTGCATTCTTTGTAGAAGTTTTCCAGGCCAAACTGTTTTGTCCACCTATGCATCTTTGTAGTGACCTGGTTTTAAGTTTGGAAATGGAAAACCAGAACCTATTGCAACACAAGACAGCTTGGTTGAAAAAATGTCCTCCTTCCGTGATCCTTCCATTGAACTATTCGTGACTGCACTGATTACAGTATATTCTAGTTGCTTTCTCCCTGGAATTCACAAACCAAATGTTGATCTTACAATTCTGTGTTCTAAATTTGTTCTTTCTACAGACAGCATGCAAACTTGGCTGGCACATTAAGTGGTCATGGATCCTGGGTATTAAATGTAGCATTTTGTCCTGATGATACCCATTTTGTTTCCAGGTAATGAGGATTTTAAACTCTTACGCTTATTAAAAAAAAAAAAAAGTTTTATATTTATAAATGGAGATTAATCAGAAAGTAGATGTGTTCAAATTGCAGTGAAATTTGTAATGGAATAGCAAACATAACAATAAAAGACTCAAGCCGATTTGTGATGTAATAGCAGTTGTAGTCAATACTATTTTATAGTGTAAGTCATCTCACTGCAGTGTAGTTCCCTACAAGTGAAAAATACTTTAACAAAAAAAAGGGCAATTTGATTCTAAATATCTGAAAAGCTGCTGTTAAAAAACAAGTACAACCTAATGTAGTACGTGTTGATTGAGTTGAACTGCCACTTAAAACAGCTTAGACAGTTGGGAGACCTGGTATATGTAATAAGCATTTCTTGATCTCTGGATAAAGAATTTTCAAAGAATTTTCTGACTAAAACAGGAGTCCTCATTTTCATACTGCAGATACTGAAACAGTGATGTATCTTAAAGGTTACTGGACCTGGTAGAAGATGCAAATCTTTGTTAATTTATCCCTATCTTTTAAGCTCTGAAGTAAACTAGTTAATCTATTAACTTAAATTTTGATTATTTTTCCAGTTCATCTGATAAAAGTGTAAAAGTTTGGGATGCCGGAACAAGAACCTGTGTTCACACTTTCTCTGACCACCAAGATCAGGTATGTTACGAGCTTAATATTGTCTGGTCTACCATCACTTTACCTAAATCACTGTAAACAGGAAAACTTAAGTTGTGCAGTTGTGTGTGCTTGTGCTTAAAAGTGGAGCTGGACTTCAGCTTACTATAATGAAATCTTAAAAGCTGCTATGTTTAGGCACTTAATATCAATCTAATATTCCAAGAGTGGTATAGGTTGAGCTCTTCACGGAACCCAGTTTTACAGGTCCAAACAAGGGCACTCCTGAGTGGCCAAATGGATTCTTATCAGACTGTATTTTTTATCTTCATGGTCTTATTTATTTTTATCACTTACAGAGTGTGTGCAGGTGTAGGGGGAAGGAGTTATTTAAACGGATGGTATTTTTAAAAAATGTTTCAAACCATCCTTGAAACTCTGTTTTATTTTTGCTGAAGAAAAGCTATAATTGAGTAAAGAGGTTAGGTACCAGCTTATTTTTTCCCCAAATGCCAGGTGTTAAGTAGAACAAGGCTGTATTTTAATGTTTAAGAGAAGACTTAAGAATGGAAATTCCTGCATATTTTATTTAGACTCTTTCTTCCACAATACTTTTTTGCTGGTAACCCCTTTTTCAGTTATCTACATCTGTGAGGATTTTGATACCAAGCATAACTGGATTTCTAGTGTTGTTTTAGTTGTAATTACATGGACTTGTGGAAGGCAGGGATATGTCAGCCCCTTGAAACACTTGATCCCTCTGGTTTTTAGATAGAAAAGTGGCGTATGAGATTTCCCCCAAAACATGTTGATACAGCTATTTTGTAATCTTGTATTAATGTGCTGGATGGACTTCATTCTTCCTGATGTTATCCTAATAAAAGGGATGAGTGAGAGTCATTTACAGGTTGATAAGTTTTTAGCTCAAGCCAAAGGACTGACCTGAACTTCTCTTGCTTTTGCATTGGTAAGTAAATGGCTCTCAATTAACCCAAGGATAAACTAGGTCATTCTTTATCATACACTGCTTCTCAGTCTGCATGAAAAGCACTTCAAAATACACTCAGGAAAAGATGGGAGCCAAGAGTGAATAACGTTAAGACAGATTTACGCTACTTGGGGCAAGTACACTTTGGTATTTTTCCAAGTATCTTAAGGCTGCATGATCTGTAGTCAATGGAAGTGGAAAGCAAGAATTTACCAGGCAGCTAGAGGTCTCATCCCCTTACGAGCCTTATCACTTGTTAAAGCAGGAATTGTAATTGTATCAGCTCTGAGAGGATGTTCTTAAATAATCCTCTTTTGCTTCTTGTAGTTGATATACATTATTTGTTGCAAAGATAAATAAATGCTTTGTCTCAGTACCTCCCCTTTATGATCTTCTCTATGTCCTATTTGCAGGTTTGGGGAGTGAAATACAATGGAAGTGGGTCCAAAATTGTATCTGTTGGAAATGACAAAGAAATCCATATCTATGATTGTCCTGTTTAAATGTCTTTGGTTAACACTGCAATCCTGTTTTTTTGTTTTTTTTTGTTTATTTTATAAAAAGCATTTTAGTAATGCTGATCTGATTTCCCACTGAAAATCAGAAATTTATATGCAATCTTTATTGTTGAGCATGAAAGAAAGCTTTACTTTTTTAAAATAAAAGCTATAGTTGCAAGTAACTTGTAACTAATCCTTGGAAAAATGTATTTTTGGAAATATACAGTCATGGGTGAGGTAACTGCTCAGTTAATCTACCACTGGTATCTCATCTAGCTTCCTGGCTTTCCCACATAAATAGACTAGAGCTAGAAATTGTTGACCAGCTTGAACAAGCTTATTTTAGGAAAAGGAAGAGTGACTGAGATTATGATAGCCTTCATTCATCTTAGTGTTGGTCCTCTGTGTGGGATAGGGTCATTTAAGTTGAACACCTGTTCCAGCCATTGTATGGTGACAGGTGGCACCTTCATCATGGTTTAATTTCACTAATGGGTACTACTTGTTCTCAACCCTACTTCAGTACAAAGTCTGCTTTTATAAAAACAGATAAAATGGAATTTTACTTTGCTATCTTGGCACAGTACAAAGCACCAACAGTATATGCAAGGCATAGCCTTCTGTTGTACAGCCACAACACCTTCTAGGAAAGCCTGAGATAAAGAGCATCAGTTTCTGAAAAAAGTCATTTTTGAGGGGGGAAGTACCTCTGGTTAAATCATTCTGAAGTCAAGCACTGTATACACAGGAGAGAAATACTTCATAATTTTCTTGTTACACTTAACAGAGTTAAGGTGATGAAAAAAGCCTACTCTCATCTGTAGAAAAGGAAGAGACAGGAGAACAGTATTATGAAGTAGTGGGGCAGGAATAAAATACTCTTGAAATACAGTTAGCTGGTTAATGGACTGCATACACAAAGACATCTGAACTAGTTGAACAAAGGAGCAGGAACTTAGAGAAACATGTTTAAGAAGACTAGCTTACAAAGCACGAAGAGAAAAAAAATGTGAAGTTCTATTTATTAGAAGTAACTTCAGCTATGTTTTATTCTATGAAATTAATTTCCAGTATGAAAATATTTACATAAGACACTCCACTTCTTAGCAGTATTGCCAGTCTTATATAAATAGCATAGGTGAAATAAAGTGAGAACCTTCACAGCACAAGAAAATGTATACCAACTCAGTTGGTTCCCAGCTGTGTGACGTTTGCTTTATATATAAAGACAAGAACACAATATAAATTAGTTACAAAAAAAGTGATACTGACAGCGCAGCAACTCAATTTGCTGAACACAAAAACCAGAAGCAGTGGCTATTACAGCCATGCAGTTTTCATTGTGAAAATTTACATTTTAGATGATAGCCATTCCACCTTGCTTTAAGATGTCTGACATTGTACACCTGTTCTTGGACCCTCTTCATCTTCTTCATATGCTTCTCCCCCACTGTTACGGTAGGTTTGCTCACTAGGGTCAAAATCTTCAAGGTCTACCTGATCCATCTCATCTGTAATCATAACATCTTCTCGTGGAGGAAGCAGAGCCTCCAGCAGATTGAGTTTCTCCCTTGGAAGCCAGTGGTGCTCTGGGAACTGGACCTACAATTTTTTTTTAAACAAATAGTTACTCCTGATGCTAATAGATTTCTTTGCTATAAAAAGCAAGTAGTTAACTTACCAAAAATTGTATAATTAAGCTGCCTTTGTCCATTGGGGATTTGTAGATAGGCATCCCTTCATTGTAGATACACTTTAGGTCACCATGCTTTACCACTTCACCTGCACAAAGGTCAGGAGTTGTAAGCAATCTTACATGACAGGAGTTTCGTAACCAATAAAAATAAACTTTAGGTTACAGAGCAATCTACAGAACACCACGCATACTGAAACACACTAAAACAAAGCAAAGGGATCAAAACACCAAATAGAAGTTCATCTTGAGTATTTCCTCTACTGTAGGCAAATCAGCTTTTCTTAGAACAGCCTCCAGGCTGAATTCACAGATTAATATGTAAGTTTCTGGCCTCTCATGGCCTGTCTATCCTGCAAATGAAGTAGCAACTTCCTAAGAAGCATTTGACAGTGCTAGCTGTAATTCTGCATGCAGAGTTTCAGTTCATAGTTTTGCCACTCCTGACTCTGCGACTGCAAAAGTACAGTTTAGATTTGTTGCAACAGTTGATTAAGAAACAGCTCTAGCACAGTCCAGAAGACAAGCAGTTTGCATGGCATCAGAATTCTGAAGACCTACCTGGCCTAGATGATATGACAAGAACTCTGTTGTCAAGAGTATCAATAGTCTTTTTGAAGCCACATAAAGCCTCTGAGAGTTGAATTCTCATTTTTGTAATTAAGTCATGCCCTCGCCTCTGAAAGACAGCATGATCCTTTTGATCAAGTACAATTATAACATCACCAGGCTCCAGATCAGGTTCTTGGTCACCTTCTCCATGAAATACTATCTTCTGACCATCTTTCATACCTGCAGAAGAAAAGCAGTGAACTCTCAACAGAATTATTAAAATGGGATTAGGGATGCAGAACAAATAAACGTCTCTCACCTTTATCAACATGAACTTCTATGATCTTTTTCTCTCTTACAACCTTACAGCCATTGCAGTTGTCACACCTGTCCTTTGGGTTTATTCTTTCACCTTGGCCTTTGCATTCTGGACACACAGTTTGGATTTGCTGTACCATGCCAGGTCCAATCTGCTGAACTAGAACTTGCATTCCTCTTCCTTTACACACAGGGCACTTTTCTACTGCCCCTCGCTTTCCACCATAGCCTTTAACAGAAGAAGTTAAAGGTGATCTCAGGGGAAAAAAAAAGTTATTCTACAATAGTCAAGCTACAACTCACTGACTTCAAGAGAACCTTTAGGCAACTTAAGTAGTTCTGTAATGCAATTCCAATTTAATTAGAATTTAGTTTCCATGACAAACGTGTCCCACAAGTTAGGAGTTTTAACATACAAAAGAAAGCCAACTTCTCTACTCACAGCTCATTTAATAGTGTCCCTGCACCACCAGCTCTCTCCCCCCCCCTTCCCCCATTATCTTGGTTTTGAAATGAATCATCAACATACAGCCTTCCACAGCTACATTTTCCATTAATGCCTTGGTAAGAATTGGTTCAGTAAAAATGTAAAAACATACTAAGATACAAGGCTACATTAAGATTTACCTCAGTGAAGATCAGGCATTATGGATGCTTAAGAGGTGTAAAACGAGTTGCACAACCCTAGCTACAATTCTACTGCCAATTATTCAAGAAAAAGTTTAACAAAACAGCTGTTGATTAAAGCTTCCGATTCAAGTATGTAATAAAGGTGCTCTTGATGACAATTTATAGACTTCAAGTCTGCCATTAGAGCAATAGGTTAACGCCACTGTCTAGGAAGAGGGCCTTACTCTTGAATAAAGATTGACATAAAGCAGCCTGATTCAGGGCGGGGGGAAGAGAAAAATATATTAAAAAAATCATACTTCGTTCCCAGCCCTCCACTATGTTATTCAAGAAAATCTTGGAAAAAGAGGTGCTTGAAACCACTGCTTATTTTACCTTCACATTTCCCACATATAACATTCTTCTGCAGTGCCAGTTTCCTTGTAACACCATTATATAAGTCTTCAAGAGATACACCTAACTGGTGCACAACATTCTTGCCTTGGAAAAACAGAGAAAGAAAAATTAAAAAGAAAGAAAAAACAGAGAAAGAAAAATTAGTCCTCCCAGCTACTGGGAGGACTAATGCTTATTTAAAGGCTTCTATACTTGTCCATACATGCAGTCTCACTGAAGAAATGTTAATTCCAGACTTTGAACAGAGCTCAGCCCCCTTAAAAGCATGTGCAGTTCCATCAGCTTCCACTAAGCTGCACCCACTTAGGTCAGAACAAAGTTGAGCTGTAGTTAAGTAAAGCATCATTAAAGCCACCCGACCCCTCCTTCTCCCCATAATTTTATAAGCTTAACCAAAACAGAAAGATGCAAGGACACTACCAGCTTCAGATCTAGTCAATTTAGAAATTGCTGTTAGGCCTACCTATATATTTACATGCCACTTCATAGCATGATTTCAAAGACATGGCAGCAAGTTACTACTTGCTCTTCCAACAGACATTGGGAATGAACAAGAAGAAATCATTGTGCTTTTGGCAACAGTATGTACTTAGTGCCACATAATTTCTCCCAAATCTTTTCATGGGATTCAACATTAACTTAAGTTGATGGTGTCCTTTGAAGCAAGTTGCCCAAAGCATATGAGCAGGTGAGGCACAAATTTAGAAAGAAGATAAATTAAAACTTATCTGCTAGCCACCTTGACAAGTACTTCCCCCCTCCCCTAAAAATTACCCATACCCATTTTAACAAAAATAAAATAAGCACAAGTAATAAGATTGCTATGGCTACATCATGTTATCTATTTTATTAGAATCTTACTACTAGATTAACTAAAATTCATAGATTACGTGATCTATCAATTCAACTAATAAAACCCACACTACGTGCACTTAGCAGAACAGCAGTACCAGAGCACACTTGTTTTATGCTTAAGTGCATGGTTAGAATTTCTAGAACTTGTTTAGAACTGTGTACCTCTTCTCTCTCTATTCATTCGGCCTCCACCACCAAAGAACATGTCAAAGATGTCCATGGGTGAAGAGAAGCTGCCGCCACTCAGGCCTCCTTCTTTAATAGCTTGCTCCCCACCCTGGTCATAGAGGTCCCTTTTCTTTGGGTCCGACAGAACTTCATATGCCTGGGATATGAGTTTAAACTAAAAAGAAAAAAGAAGCTCTGAACAACTATGACCAAGAGGAAATGTAACCCTCTCACGTGCAACTCAATCTTCAGATTGAGCCACTACAATACTCTTGCAGTGTTTGTTTTTTCCAAGAGTAAACTCCCTCAACAATAGAGCCTAATAATACACTTTTGTCCAGGAAAAATAGCCGTCTTCTCCCTCCCACCCACCAGCATTTTACACACAAACCTGGAGTCGCATCCAACTTACAGGCATATGCAAACTGCCCCTTTGATGCTCATGGGTTGCAGCCATCATACACCTCTAACAAACCTGTTTAGGAAGGGATGTGATGCTATCCCCTAAGTCTTTGGGGTCCCTGGATGCTCACTGGCCACAGCAGCACTAGTCATTCTAGAGCTACACAGGGATCTTTAATGGCTGCTGAGCTCCTATATTCAGCTAAAATTAAGCAAATATTTAAGTGACAAAGCACTGGTGTAATTACAAATGGAACGAATTAGGATACAAATCAAAACATCACCCTTATCCAGATGTGACGTTCTTTAAAAAGCCATCCAAAGGCTTCTATTACTAAATCTTATTACTAAAATAGTAATAGAAAATAGCATTGAAAAATGGGCTGAAATGGCTTGTTCAGCTTGCTCATTTTCAACATGATCTGCTTATGACCAGGTAAACTTGCAGACCAAAAACAGAAGCATTGGAAGTTAACTTGGCCTATGTTACTATTTAACTAGTTTAGGTTTGTGAGTTAGTATACTACATGCACAATTATTGTGTTTCCTTTCTTACATTAGGGTATTAATTATCAGACCCATTTCTATGTAAATAAACCTATAAATCAAGTTTGTTTTCCATAGGTCTCCAGTTGTGGTGCTCCTTTATTCTCATACACAATGTAGGAAGCTGAGTGGGTCTCTCTTTTTAAATAAAACAGATGTGCTGTAAACAGTCCACTCATGGCTCAGCCCAATGGAATGGCTTCCTCTGGGTAGTTACCCTATCCACCTGCATTTGTGGTTCTTTAGAGGAACTCATGCTGTTCGTAAGCACAAATCCATCCACTGCAACCCCAACGAGCACAGTAGTGCTGGCAGGTGGATCCAGCTTTGACCTTCACAACATCCAATACAGCACGATGACCATTAAGGCAGCAGGAGTCCTTCTAGCTTCACCTGCTTCAAAAAGCATCACTGCTAAGAGTGAACTCCTGGCAGCTGTAAGGAATGGTGAGAGCAGTGCCCAGGGGAAGGAGCCTCGATACCCCCTTCTCCTCCTCATCGTGCCCTCCTGCCGCGGCCGAGCACCAGGCCTGCTGCCAAGCCGAGGCCTCTTCACCCACTCTGCACACCCGCACCCTTCATTCATCCCGGGTGCCGCAGGAAGGGCGCTGCGTCCGTGGTCGTGCTGGGGCAGCGCTGGAGCAGAGGAGCTCCCCCGGGCGGCAGGGAGCCGGGCAGCTCCGCGCCAGCCCCAGGAGCCGCCACCTGGAGGCCGCCCCACGGCCCCGCACCCCCGGCGGAGGGGCCCCGAGGCCTGCAGGCGGCGGCCACGCGGGGCCCGCCCGGCCCAGGCAGCCCCGAGCCCCGCCGCGCCCCCCGGCCCGCTCCCGGCCCCGGCTCCGTACCCGCTCGCCCTCGCTGGGGTTCTTGTCGGGGTGGTACTTCAGCGCCAGCTTGCGGTAGGCGCGCTTGATTTCCTCGGAGGAGGCGGTGGGCTTCACCTGCAGGATGTCGTAGTACTCCGTCTCCTTCACCATGGTGCCCTGCTCTGCTCTGCGCTCACCGCCCGTCACGGCCCCAGGCCCGCCGCTGCCGCCCCGCTCAGCGCCGCAGCCTCCCGGCCCCGCCACCTGCCCGCCCGCCCGGCTCTGCGCGAGCCCCGCCTCTTCCGTGCCTTTTATAGCGGCGCCGGCCGAATCTTCTGGAATGACGCCGCCGGACGTCACGGCCCTGGAACGGTCTAGAATCCCTGCGCGTGACGTCACCGCCGGTAACCGGCGGGGCGGGGCCGGGCCAGGCCTCAGCCGCCGCCACCGCCCGTCGGGGCCTCGGGGGGGCTGCGCTGGGCCCGGCCCCTTCAGCGCCCGGCCCCGTGGCCGCTCCTGTCAGGGCTGGCGGGCTCGGAGCCCGAGTGACGGGGCCCTGCCCGGCCCCGCCGCCGCCTGCTCGGCGTGTGTCCCGCTCCTGGTAACGGGCAGGCGCTCCTGAGGGCGGGGAGCAGGGAAAAATCCACAGGGAAAAATCCAAGCAGTGACCAAGGGAACGGTTCAGCGCCACAGGGTCAGCGTCAGTAACTGCTGTCCTCTGGGTGCGTGGTTAGTAACAGCAAAGCACCTAAATCTGTATCGTAAAATTGTGATGTTGCCCTGGCAAGCAAGTAAAGAAACTTCCAAAAATGACTACAGAAAAAAAATTGTATGGTGGGAATTTAATTTTTTGGGGAAAAAAAATAATCTTCAATGGTTTTTACCTTGAAGATAAGTTGGCTGTAACGTTAAACCAGTTAACAGGTTTGCAGTAGCTGAATGCTCCAGAGGCTTTGCAAGCACGTCGTGAATTCACCAAAAATTGAATTTCAAAGGTCAATTTGAAGCAAGTTGCAAAGAGGCAGGCAGTGCATCGCTGCGGGGGGCAGGAACCCCTGTGTGCGTAAATGTAACCCTCTGTAAGGACAGGGCAGCTCAGAGCTCTGGTCAGTGCGCTCACAGTCACAGCTGTTGGTGAGTACCCTGCCAGAAGCTGCTCTGCTGTGGGTTTTTGCTGAAGAGCATTGGGCCTCTTGCTTTGTGTTCTTTTAATCAACTATCAGGTTATAGTTACTATCAAGCATTCGTTTTCTCCATCTTTGGAGCCAGCTGGGACACCTAACTCATTATTTAGTCAAAGAATTAGCAGGGAAAGTAGCAAGGGCTGGTGTTTGGGGTTCGAGTAAATGGAAGTGGTGTCAGTCCATCGCTATTGTTTGCATTCCTCTACTCTGACAACCACAGTGATTGCGGTACCTGAGGGGAGCACAATGCTTCTCTAGCTGGTTGTTCCTCACCAGCGGTTGCTTACCTGCTTCTCAGATGAACACCCGATCTCTTGCTCTCCTTTTCCTTCCTTCTTTTCCTGCTGCATGCAACACTATGAATCACCTTGTCACTTCTTACTTACCAAGTCTGTGTCTAGGTGTAAAAAAAAAAAAAAAAAAAAAAAAAGCAGAGAAGCTCTGTTCTCTCCAAGAAGACTGGACTGGACTGGGACTTGGGGAATAATTAGCTCCTACTGCCTGTTTCATTTAACCACCAGGGGACTCTGTATTTGGTTTTAAAATAGGTATTCTCACTGTTAGCACAAAATGAGTCAAAACATTCCCTCCATCCTGACTTTTGGAACATCCATCATCTTTATAGGTTGTAAGAAGTATGCATTTTATGAAATACTCACAGAATCTCTCTGTTTGTGTTTGTTTCTCTTACCTGGCCACACCATATGTAGTGAACTGTGCCTTCTAAACAATTAAGCTGTTGCTGGAAGTGGCGTCCCAGAGTCCAGTCTGCAGCAGGGCTTTCTTTGAGCACCCTTGACTTTTTGTAAAGATGTTCCAAGAATAACCTAAAAACAAACAAACAAAAAAGGTAAATCTGGGTGCTTGGGAGTTGTGTTTTCAAAGGCACTGACATTTGCATAAAGGGAGCTTCAGCTGTCCCTCACAAAGGTGAAATCTGAATCACAACAACCTTCCTTGCTGCTGAGCTGGATTTTTCCAGTATCCAAACCTAAACAGATATCATGATTTCTACAGTGCATTAGGAAAAATACCTTTTAAATAACATACTCAACCTATAGTTTTTAGTCTTTCTTAAGATATGCTTCAGAAAGTTTTAGAACAGTATCATGTAGTGGACTTCAAGTGGTACTGGAATTCTTTCCACAGAATGAAATATTGAAAGGATAATTTGGGCAGAAATCAGCTCTTAGGAAAGCATTTTTGTTCTTGGTGAAAAGTAAAAGACTAATATCTGTAAGAAAATGGAAATGATGGCATTGTTTTAAGATGTTAGGGCAGTTTGTAGTGAGTGATTAGCATCTTCAGAGGATTTTTCAGAGCCAAGTTTTAATTAAAATATATGACAATCTGAAGTAATTAACTTCAAGTGATAGTAATACAAAGTGAATAAGAGAGACCTGTTTCCATAGTACCATTTTAATTGGTTAAGGCTGTGCAGCTGTGAGTGTTTTGGGCCTGTATACAATTTGAAACTGGATACATAAACACCTGTGAGTAACTGTGAGATTGTACATTGCTTGCAGTCTAAACCAGGCTTTTCCTCAGAAGGAAGCAGCAAAATTGTTTCTAGATGTGCTTGTCCACCAACCAACAGTTGTTTTGACCTTATGGGTCACATTCTTCTCTCTAGGTGCTCAGAAATAGCTCTTTCCTTGTGTGCATTCACAACTGCTTTTTTCTTACAATTTTCTTCCTCCATCTGTACAAACTGTAGTTGAAAGCAAACTTTGATGCTTTGGGTATAGATGCTCCAACAGCTTTACAGGAACTGGTCTGTGGTGTGGTGTTTTTTTTCTGATTGTGGAACAGTTCCTTAAAAGCAGAGTGCATTTTTCAGAAAGGTAAGGTGAAATTCCTGTCACTGTAGCATGGCCAATGAGAGAAAACATTTTTAGAGATTGCTACTGGAAATTTCTTGATATACAAATACATGGCAGTTGGATATGTTTGTGGATAGCGAAGTGTTTTGTGGGTTAAACTGTGTTTTTCCTGCCCAATGTCTGTGAAGTAGATGCCTCATTTTAGCCTAGAGACTGTAGAATCACAGAATGGTTTGGGTTGGAAGAGACCTTAAAGATCATCTAATTCTACTGCCGTGCCATGGGCAAGGACACCTCCCACCAGCCCAGGCCGCCCCCAACCCCATCCAGCCTGGCCTTGGGCACTGCCAGGGATGGGGCAGCCACAGCTTCTCTGGGCAGCCTGTGCCAGTCCCTCACAACCCTCATGGTAAAGAAGATGCTGATTTGAGTGCAGATAAATTCTCTTCAGTTCTGGAAGTGTAGGGAAACTCATCTAAGGGTAAAAGTTGTCCTTTTTTAATTTTATTTTTAATCAGAATTTGTTCATTAGAAGTGAATTGGTAGAAGACATATGCGTGAGTTTAGAAAGATGTTGCTTGCCTAGGGTTTTTCATTATGGAACCACCTACTCTTAACTACTGCTTAGTCCAAGCTAACTTAAATTAGTTGATCTTCCAGGAGTGGTTTAGTACACATTTATCTAGTAAGAGTTACTGGCAGCATAACCAAAGTACTGTTTGGGCTTAGAGTTTTGTTCTAATGTCATCAAGCCTTTGAAGTAGGAACTGAAAAAGTATTATAGACCTTTTTTTCTGGTTATGTTTTTTGTTGTTGTTTTTAGACTCAGTGCTGGAAGTCTGAAATAACAATAGGACCACCAGGTTAGCATCATGCTTCTACCAGAAACCATTGTTCTACATTAAGAAGCTTTTTTACCAGTCACGAAATCAAGAAAAAAAAAAAGCCAATCACGCATAGTTGTTCAGCTGCATGAATCAACGGCCTGCTTAAACTAACTGGGATAAACAGCAAGGAGCATCCAGAATTAGTATATTTCTCCACTTGTTTTAAATGAACATAAGTTTTGTAGTGAGACAAACACGCTTGCCTTAGGGAAGAAATGACAGAGCACGCAGCAATGGACAACTTTATGTTGCCATGGCAACAGTGTGAATTAAACCTGAAACACCCCATCCCAAATATGAATGGAGTGCCAAGCACTCCACCCACCTGTCGGCTGATCTCTGCACTGTGGTTGAGCTGGTTACGAGCCATGGTAACAGCACGGCTTTGTTTTGGCGTGTGTAATATTTCTGTTTGGGATCTTGTGACAGCACAAGTTTGCAGCGACAGTGTCTTAACACTAATTCCTGGAAGGTACCAATCATGATTGTAAAACAAAGGACATAAACAACACATGAGCTTTATTCACCTCTTCATTTCCTTCATAGCTTTGTGAGCCTGTCAATCCGCAGAAAGCTTCACCTGCAGCTGGAAGAAGCAGCCTGTCCCATTGCAAGAATTCAGTCTGTGAGTTGAGCACAATCTCATGCGTGTTGCATACAGGCATCAAAGAAAACACTGTGCTAACAACAGCATTGTGTAAACTGCAGCATGTAAAAATTGTTTGAAGGTCAAGATTCCTTACTGAGCTTTACATAAGTTATCCTCATTTACTAGATGTATTTGAAGAGTACTGAAAAACGTTGTACTAGGACAGCAAAGACAATTTCATTGTGGAATTTTTTCTTACAGCATGACATTCATAATTCTGTAGTTAAAATTAAGTTATAGAAGAGATCTCTTCTCTATATACTCTATTTAGAAATGTTTTCTTCTGTTTATTAAATGAAAGCACAAGTTTTGGAGCATAAACAGCCATTTCTCTTCCATGAGACTAGCTGTTCAACACCAAGATACAAGTTATACAAGGTAATGTGATCATCTATTTGGATTCCTTCCTCTAACATAGCAAGGAAAACATTTCACATGACCAGAAGAAAAGATAAAGTGAGACTTCTTGCAACGGAGTTTCAAATCTGTGTTTTTTTTTTTTTTTTTTTCTTTCTTTTTCTTTTTTTTTCTTTGAAGTACTTCTGGAAAGCTAGTTGCAAGCTCAGGTAAGATATCAAGGGGCTTTCTGAAAACAGTCCTTGGAGCAAAGTGAGAATTATTCCAGAACAAAGGAATTAAATCAGCCCTGATCAAAAACAGAACAAAACATATCTCTGTGAGGTAAAGTGTTTTTTACAGTTGAAATATCCCCTGTTCTGTGTTCAGGGATTTTCAAAGTGACTTTCTGTGAGTGGTGAAAATAGGGCACTTAAAATCCCACTGTGAAGCTTTCTTTCTTTTCCTTTAATTTCAAATTTCACTATGAGTAATTAGGCATTTGGATATGGTGCAAATACTCTGGAATAAAATATCAATCTATAAAGCATCTATAAAGTATACTAGTCCTACATTTTCCTAATCAACGTGGCTTTGTACCAGTAAATAACATTCTTGAGCATGTTCTGCGGCTCTGAGGGAAATGGCAGGGCACAGCTTGCATCCTTCTCTCCTTTGAGAAGGGTTGCCATTAACACAGTCTTCTAGTAACTGCCCGTGGCTTAAGTTACCCCTCTGTCTGTGGCAGTTGTGTGGGGAAATACCAGTTGGCTCAGACCAAAGCTGTTGCAGGGAAGATCCTCACAGTGGGTGGCTTGAGCTATTCCCTGGCTTTTATTTATTAGTAGAGAAGTAGCCTAAGTGGACAAACTGGACTTTATTACATCCTGGGAACTAATTGGTTCAGTCATGTGTAGAAACTCCTACAATATATGGTAGGCCTCGTTTGGTGAAGTGAATGAAGTGCTGGTAGCTGTGATGCTGGAGGAGGTGCTTGGCTGTTGCAGTACTGGGTTTCATTGGTATAATTGACTTGCAGGCATTTCCTAATGTAATTAATCTGTGTTTTCTTTAAGAAATTAACTTCGCTGAATGTTCCTTTTTGAAAATAGAGGTAATAAAAATCAGAATTGATTCAACTTCTGTGAACTAATTTGTTAAAAATCTTGGCAAAAGAAATGATTTGCATCTTAAAGCATTGTAGGCTCATTAAAATTCCTCTCATGGATAATTAAAGAAAACTGAATAAAAAAGAAAGTTTAGCAGTAAGCAGCTCACAGGCACTGCGACATTTCAAGCATGCTAAAATCAGAAAGAAACAGCTTTTGTAGCTGTAGTCTCCTCCTCTTTATTACGTGTTGTTTTTTTCTAACAAATAACCAGTTAGTGTTGGTTTCTTCTGTTGTTCAAGTGGCTTATTTATGCCCAACCTTCACAGTTCTTAGCATATTTGTCACCAGCTTTAGAGGGTTTGTCAGCATGCCTAACAGTGGAGAGACTCTTGCGAAAAAATCACAAGATGAAAATGGGTAAAGTAGTTTACGTATTTATATTGATGAACTGATTTTCCAGTTTTTCACGACTTAAATTCATCTTCTACCACCATGTGGGTCCACAAGAACCTTACTTTCTTAATAGTGACTCAATCTGATTCCGAATAAGAAGTATCTTTTGAGGCTAAAATGAGAGAAAATTGTAATGAAGATTCTAAATGGATTTACTCTCCTATGCTAACTTCTAGTTTGGCATTAATCCTAACTGTTTCACTCAGTATGAACTACGTTGCTTGTATCCTATTTGCCTATATCTAATTGTGTAGTGTTCATTTTATAGCGCAGAGTCCCAGAAATGGGCTCAGCAGAGGTTTGTGTATAGCAGTTCCAACAAGAGGTACATTGAGTTCCTGTGGCTCGGTTGCTCACAGCTTAGTAAAGACAGGGAATGCTAGCTGAAAATGCTGGTAAGATACTAGACTCTTATACTGCAGTAAATTGAATGATTAATGGCTTTCCAACCATGTGGTAAGATTACATACATTCTTAAATACCATAAAATAGCAAAATTCTGATAGTCTTAAAGAAAAGAGTGGTCATGTTCCTGAACCATCCCTTCATGTGTCTCCAATGAATAGAGCAGCAACAAAGACTAAAAGTTCGGTACTGTTTGCTCTGCACATACTACCATTCATACTATGTACTTTGAATGGACCTTCAAAAATACCCTGCTGCAGCTATGAATGTAGAGCTCTCTTCCCTGCTAAATTTGAGGGAATAAACCTTAGGTCGTAATTTGCCTTTGTGGTTGAGCATCATCTTTCCATCAAAGGCAACTGAACTTAAATCATGGGATACCTTAAAATGTATCCCATCTCTTTGAGCAGGGAGTGGGGAACTTGCTTTTAAAAGAGTTTACTTCAGAGTTGATATTACATTTTTACATGAAAGACAACCCTATCGGCTGCTCTCTTCTTTTTGTCCTAGGTAGCCAACACAAAAGGGAAAAAACATTTCCCTTTTCCTGTTACTCCATTGCTGTAATCATATTTCCTGTGAGAAAATCTCCCCATCTCTATTTAGAGTTTTTCAAAATGCCCAAGATTTTCAGAATAGATGAACAAATCTCAAAGGAAATATTTTAGCTTCTTATTGTAAGTTTGTCAGTATCACTGAGTACTAATTATTGATTCCCATGTACTGAACTATCGTATTAGGTAGACTTCTTTCTGTTAAGTTAGATTTAACTTCACTTTTACTTAGATAAGAACTTACATGTTACATTGCTTGAAAGATTTGCTTGATCCTCTCAGGTAAACAGATGGCCGGGGTCCATTTTATCATAATGGTTTCTTCTATTCAGGGCTTTGTAATCCCAGATAAGCACACTCAGGAGTAAACTGTGGAAAAAGACTTTATGGAAAAGAAAAAAATTGAAGAAATCTTGGAAAGCTTTTGATAATATATATATATATTTCTTTTGCAGTAGTAAAATATTTAACACAAGATTGACATTCTTAAATCTGCACCAAACCCATGAAACAGTTTGATTTGGGATTGGTGTAGATATATGTACACACTGACCTGAGGAAGGTAGGATTTTTGTAAATTAGTAACAATGCCTCTGTTTTAGTCCAAGCATGGTTCTACTTGTGACGTGCTTAAATAAAGAAGGTGTTCTGGGTTTCCATTATTTAAAAAAACTGCTGCAAGAATTCTAAAATATATAGTGGTTTTCAACCATTGCAAACAGGAAGTTTAAGTGTCTTATGTATTACTTCATTTCAATAAAAAATGTTTGGCATATGGTTTGTTTCTGAATTTCTATTGAAAGAATGTCAGACCAGAACTCTGAATGCTTTTGATGTGTTCAGTTTCCTTTGCTTAAATGCTTTCTTGTTTTTGAAGAAGTTGGTGCATATTTGTTGTCCTGCTAAGTGGTGGTGTTCCCCTGGTGTGGTTTGAAGTTTGGCAAAGTTTCTTTTTTCATGCTGGCAGTAGGATTTCAGGTAGAGAAAACTAGACAAAAATATAAGATTCTAGCAAAAATGTGCAGAGATAAAAAGACCTTCGGTTAGTCTGAAACTTAATCAGCATGACCTCAAAAATGAGAAAGAGAGGAAATAATGAGTTCTGCATGACCTAACTTTGCCTTAATCCCTACAGATTGCTGTACAGAAGCAGCTACTGGAAGATTTCAGGCTCAGGTGGGGGATTTTGCTGGGTAGGGTAGAACAGAGTAAAAAGGCTGATGTATTCCTTCCTATTCACCCACACAATTCTCAGCTATCTGTAGAACTAGTCTGCTTGCCAAAATAAATGGCCTGTTTTGTTTCTTTTTTTTTTTTTGGAGGGAAATTAGTCATACAAAAGATAAAAAGAAGTTTTATTTTTGCAAACAAAGATAGGCTTTACTAGAAGGTGTGTGTCAAGTCTGGCATATGGCAAAACAGGTCTCAGCTCTTATCTTCGTTGTTCTTTATTAAACTTTTGTGTTGCTCTTAAAGATACCTTTGTGTGGGAAGAAGTTATATTAGTAACTTGAGAAAGGTGGTTTTCTTGTGCACTCTGAGAAGAAAGCTGATTGTTTAATCAGCTGAGCCTTTTTGCAAGAGTGGCACATATCTGGGCTGCCCCCTTTTTAAGTCTCATAAGGACATGAAACTAATTAAAACCCGAATGTAACCCATTCTTCAAGGAGAAGGGGAAATTTTAAATAGAACAAATAAGGAATGTATTATAATATTTCCCTAATTTAAAAAGAGGAGTAATTGGTAAATAAGACCACTCATAATAGACAGCAGTGCCTCTGTAAAGGACCACAAGGACATCTTCTGACTCTCCTTACTTTGCTCCTTAACATAGGAACAATTTTGCATGTGATACAAAATTAGGATTTACAAAATTAGTATTGTGTGCCATTACTGTCTGTTTTTCTTGATGCAATAGAAGATGAGAAACCATTTAAAAGTGTTTTAGGAAATAATTAATAGCTTCTCAGTCAGGAGATGTAGTATTTGCTACTCAGCTGTTTGTGTTGCTCACATAATTTGATTTATCTGATGAGCTATCAAACCTGGGGGCCAAGTTATGTTGTGTGACTCAGATTTGAATCTGAGTAATTTCACAGTCTTTGTCTAGATCTCTGACAGATTCATGATTCTAAATTTATTGTCCTGTGCTCCCTCCCACATCCTCTCCCCAGAGTTCTGTTTTAAAATATTGGAGTCAGCACTTGCAAGACGCATGGGAAATCGGGAAAGGATTACTCATGAATGGGATCCAGATGGTGATGGCTAGTGGCTGAAGTTTCTGGGCAAAATGCCAGGATTATTCAAGTTTTCAGAGATACCCAGAGGTAATTTGGCCCATTGCTTTTTGCTGCCAAAAGAATTGTCAAGTGATTACTTAATGATTCCATCTTAACTTAAAATGGCCAAGTGACCTGTTGAAAATGCCTAACACCCCATGAAAAGTACTTTGGAAAGTGCAGATGCAGACCCGAAACATACTGCCAAAAACAGCTCCAATGTAGATTAAAGCTGGTGTATTATATATAGCTAGGTTGCCCTGCTATATATAGCTAGGTTGCCCATGCAACAAAAGCTTAGGGGGCAAAAAAAAAAAAAAAAAAGTCCAATTGTTAAAACAGACAAATATTTCATAACACTGGTCACAGACTAATTGGAAGAAAGATTTTTTTTTCACCTGCTTTATTACTGTTTAAATTAAACAACCAAACTATAAGAATTTACAAGTCATCCTCAGAAGAAGCAAGCAATGAAAGGTGAAAATGAAATTTATGAAGAGGTTTCTGCCTTAGAAAAAAATGCATGTTTTCCAGTTCAGTCTCATTTGCATGTTTTAAAATAAGATTAATTTTTAATAATTGGGAAAGCATAAGGCAACAAAAGTGTGTTTGAGAAATAAATACTTGCGCAAATGGGGATTTGCACAATCTTCTCCCTAAAATAACAAAGAATCTCCCTGAGAACAAAATTTATTAATAAAAATGTTTTCACTGTATGGTGACGCCATCCATGTAGTACAACATGATTCAGGAATGAGATGAGAGCTGAGCAGCTGTGCAATGGGAGAAGCTTCTGCATTAGAAATACCAGGAAAGGGAGGAAGAGATGGTGGCATCATCTTAAATCCTGACAGCAGTAGTGGATTCTGGATGGAAACGTAGCCCAAACTACTGACTGTTTAAACTGCAAAAAAACCTGTTTGTTCAAACCTTCCTTGTTACCAGTTGTGAATGTGATTTCCAGACTTAAAGTATTTTGACTTTCTGTATATATTTAAGGGGTTGTGACTAAATATCCTGAAGCCTAAAAAAGTAACTTGTACTGAATAATATATCAACAATATACACAGACTTTTATCATTTGATCAACTGCTCATATTTTTGCAAGTTTATAGAAAGCTGACTTTAAAACAAACAAACAAAAAAACCCTAATGCTCACTGGTAAAAATCTAACAATGAGAAGGCTACAGAAGTTGAGCAATTGTGATAAAATATACAAAAGAATACAAAAAGAATAAGAGCTTTCTGTTTGTTTGCCACTACACATAGAGTTTAACAACTTCCCCTTAAATTTCATGATAATTTGACTGCTGTGTAACAAAGTTCAGATTTCATTGGTACAGTTTTTTATCTAAGGAAGCACTCTGCAGAATTAAGGCCAAAATATGTTGAACTAGTTCCTCATTTTGAAATACGGGAGAAAAGATTCTAACCAAATTGTATAGGACAATGTGTGTATTTTGTGAGGTGTGTTAAAGTAAGAATTACTTTTGCTCTCCATAGAAATCATCAGTTCATTATCATATTAAATGTTGACTTTATTCATTCTTTTAGGTTTTATTCTTAGTATTTTCATCAGGAGAGAAGGTTAAGCACAGGAAATGAGCTGACTGTATTTGACCTAGGATGTGAGATGTATGCAGAAATTCCAAGTATCAGGGCAAAAAAAGTAGAGCTTGTGGAAGTGCTTCCAAAGTTTCTTGAAGTTTTAAAAAGAAAAAAAGGAAGAAATTAGTGTCACAACATGGACTGTCATTAATCAGACACTCAGTATCATACTAATAACAGTTTTTCCTAATGTATAACATTAAGCACATGAGGACTGCCATTTCATAATGATCAGAGTGGGGAGGTTTAGCTCTTCCATTAAATTTCTTTGTTTCCAAGAAGAAACAGTGCTGTATTCACTGGATTTGTTCAAAGGTTTTTTTTGTTGTTGTTGTTTTGTTTTTTTTTCTCCGTAGGCTAACTGCTCTGCCAGCAAGCTCAGATTGGTTGCCTTTATTTTGCAGAATCCTTACCCACAGCAAGGGCTCGGGAGGTCTGTCAGTTACTTCAGTCACTGCTGTGCTCGTACCCTGTTGCACATGCATTACTTCTGCTGGTTTGCAAAGACAGAAATGACTGGAGCTGATTCGGTCTTGGAAACAACGAATGGAATTTTTCCCTTTGTTAATCCACTACAGGGAATGTTCAGACTCTTGATTTCGGTTGTTGGTTCACCTGATACGTGAGAGGAGCTTCAGTATGCTCTAGCAGTCAGTTGGTGTAGCACAGGGCGGTAGCTGCAGGCACTTGGAGCTGCTCTGGGATCTGCGCCAGGCTCTGGGCCAGCCAGCCTGAGCCTGCTGTGCCTTTGCCTCAGGGGCGGGCTGGTCTCTTGACTTCAGGCAGCTGACAGGGTCTTATTTGATAGGATGGTACCTCACCATTAAATCCCAGCCTGTCAGGAAGTACTGTCATTCAAAAAACCCTCATGCTAATGGAGTTGCACAGGAGTATGCTTTGTTGAGTTCTGGCTGGTCAGCACTGTGTAACTTGAACTCGTTTTGTTGTAATTGGCATGCTAAAATGACTTCTACTCTCAAATCTTTTGTGTGTGTTTTGTAGAGGTTTTTACATATTACCTTTGTAATCATACACTTTAGTTAAATAAAAATTTTATATAGGAAATTCCCTTTTAAATTGGTAGTTGAATTTGGGAACATGCTGTCCCTGTACTAATAACTTTAAATGATTTATGCAGAACACCAGCCTTAACTGTTGCAGCCAAAGTCCAGATATTTACAACATTTTGGTGTTGATAGAGCATCTTACCAACAAACCATAATTCTGCAGTGTATTTTCTCCTTGCAGCTGTATGCCAGGTGTGTTCTTATTTTCCTTTGGGTATATTAGTATGTGGGTTTAAGCGTTACATCTTTAATAGTTATATCTCCTTTCAGAATATCTACAGATACACAGCCTATCTGCAGAGATTTGCTGACTTGTTTTGAGGACACCCAAGATGAGAGAGGAGACCCAAGAGAAGGGACCCAAGAAGAGCCAGCAGGTAAGCACACGAAAGGTGATTTTTGAAACTTGGAACCCCTTTTAGAATTTTTACATGTAACGTTTGTTCTGTTTTAGCAAACTGTCTGTTTTTCAGGGCTATGATAAGAAGAGCAAACCCCCCGCTCCCCAACCCACCAAAAAAAAAGAATCAGGCAACTGAAACTTTTCAGGAGTTTTCTGTAAACTTGCATGAATTCAGTAGCTTCTCATGATTTTTGTCTGTATTTGAGATGATTGTTATATAAAAGTGAAAAGTAGCCTGATCCCCAGCAAAGCCATCCCCATCCTGGTGTTCTTTGGCATTACAGCCTGCTTACCAGCTAGTAGCTATCGAGAATTTGCCATGCTGTAATAACTGGGGGCTGTGAAGGAGTACCTGTCCTTGGGTCAGTTCTGCATTGTATTGTAGCACATGCACACTGTTGCAAGTTTAAACCAAGTGCAGTGTTATATTAAAAGAGCTCTGCTACCATGCAGCTTAAGGGAGGTTTGCAAGCAGAATATAAGCAGCTGCTTTGGAAGATTTGCAGCCCCAAGGGAGCTCTCTGATGCCTTGTTGAGACTGCTATCTAAATGTGCTTGTTTAAATATGGTGTTATTTGTACTAGGAGACAAATGGAGTAGTGACTACAAACAGATCTTGAAGAAATAACAAATTTATGTAGGAATCTGATTTGCAGACTTTACACATATGAATATGCACTTGTATACATACGTGTGTATATATACTGTTAAAAAGGCAATTCCTTAATCCACAACAGTGCTTTTTGTTTGGTTGTTGTTTTTTTTTTGCTTGTCTTTTTTCTTTTTCCCAAGAATTGCACTGCCAGCCATTTGCATTTTGTTGTTTAGTAAGCAGGGGAGAAATTTGTATGGGTAAAGGTGACAACTACCTTCTCTTTTTAGATGTTTAGCATGTTTTATTGAGCTATTGGAGACACGCTGCGTGCATAGATTATTGCTGAGGCTGTGATTCTGCAGAGTACCTTCTTGTGTGCTTGTGAAGGCTCTGACCTATTTTTCTAAGAGAATATATCTGGGACGCTGGTTACTGTCACCAGCTATCCGTCCCGCTTCTCTCCCAGAGGTTGCTACTGGCTCCAGTTTACGTAGTACTCTGGTCTATAAACCACGGTGCTCAGGAAGGAGTGTACATGCCACCTCAGCCACTCCTACATTAGGTGCCTGTGGCATCTGAAGAAAGGCGAGGCAAACAACAAAGGGTAGAAGCCACTCCAGCTGTTCCATGATAATTTTTCTGCAATCACAAGTCACGCCCCATTCATCTTAATTGAGCAGTTCCTTTATTTGAGCTTAGGTACATTTCTAAGTTGATGAATCAGTCTTCAGCTGCAGTGGGTTTGCTTCGTATGTTAGGTGAAAAGGAGATTCTGATGCTTTGTAGTTGTGAACTGTCTCTTTTTATAATTGATAGTTCTGCAATTTCAGATGTAAATATGTTTAATGAAGACCTCAAGTTGCTTTTGGAATTTTCTACCATTTATTTTCCACCACCTTATAGAAGCTCATCCTTGTGAAACCAAGCCACACTTTGGTTTTCGTAATAGTGCATGTATAAAACCAGAATAACCTCACTCTTGGCAGCAAGCATTATATTGGTTATAAACCAGTGTAAAAGTAAATGAGAACTCATGCATGCTGGTTATATTCTGATGGAATTGCAAAATAACTTTCTGGAAAAGACCTCTGGAGGGCAGGTAGTCCAGCTTCCTGCTAAAAGATGACCTCATGCCCTTATTCAGCAGAGTTTTAAAAACCTCTGAAGACAAGGGTTCCTCTCAGAGTCGCTCAGACACTGTTCTTGGTCTTAGCCACCTGCATTGTGAAATTATTTTTCTTTATCTAGCAAGAATTTTCCTTGCTGCATCTCATGTCCATTGCCTCTTGTCCTTCCACTGTGTGTCTCTGAGAGGAATCTGCCTTCTCTATAGCCCACCTGCCCTGCCTCCAGTCTGTAGCAAACTGTCGTTATATTTACTCTTGGTCTTCTCTAGATTGAAGAACCCCATCTCTTTCAAGGGCTTCTTGTGTGAGGTGTGCTCCAGTCCTGTGAACATCTGAGAGGTCCTCCTTTAGGTTTCCTTCAGTTTGTCAGGATCTCTTGCACTGGAACTTCCAAAGCTGCACACTGCTCCAGAGGCAACCTCATTGAGTATTGAGTAGGGGGAAATAATTAGTTCCTTTGATCTGCTGGCTGTTATCTTGCTAATGCAGCCCAGGAACAAGCCTTTCAGGAACACAATACTGACTCTTACATAGCTTGTTTTCCACCAGGAGCCACAGGGAATTTTCTGCTGAGCCAGCCAGCACCCAGTCTGTGCTGCTGCATGAGGTTATCCTAGCCCATGTACAGGACTTAACATTTACCATTGTTGGGCTTTGAGGTTTGTGCCAGACCAATTCTTCATGTGGAGTGTCGTCATTGAAGCTGGTGAGGGAGCATTCCATTGCTCAAGACGGCAATGCAGTCATTAAAACAATATTGTTTCTAGGACTAACCCCTGAAGAATGCCACTTGTAATTGACTGCTAGCTAGACTTGGAAATGTTGACCGCTGTTCTCCAAGACTAATTATCCTGCCTGGTTTTGCTTCACCTGCTACTCCAACTCCATCTGGTCCAAACGTTCCAAGTTTGCCTTCAAGGATGCCGTGGGAGACCTTGTTAAAGTAAATGACCTGCCACAGCTCTCCTCTCCCCACCTACAGAGCGAGTCATCTCATGGTGGAAGGCAGTTGGATTGGACAGACTTGATTTGGGTTTGGTAAATCCATTCTGGCTGGTCTCAGTAACCATTTTATACCTCACAGTGATTTCTAGGGGGGTTTGTTCTATAGCCTTCCCACAGTCTGGGGTGATTCGGATTGTCCTGTTGTTACTCAAGTACTCTTTCTTCCTATTTGTGAAGATGGATGTGACATTTGCCTTTTTCTTGTCATTAGAGATCCCACCTGATTGCCATGCTTTTTCAAAGATGATGGGAGCAGCCTAGGGATGGCATGATACCAGCTCTCTGAGCCTGAAGAATCCCGTTTGGGCCCAGGGAGGTTTTTGCATGTGTAACACGGAATTCTGCATTAGAGGATTTTACTTGGAATTTCCTCTGCTATGGTAGGTAGAACTTCTTATCTGTTGCCACTGGGCACAGGAGCTCAGAAAACCTTGTCAGTAAAGACCAAGACAAAGGTGGCACTGAGTCTGTCAGTCCTCCTCACATCCTATGTCAGTAAGTTGCCCATTGTATCCCTTTGGCTTCCAATGTACTTGCAGAAGCCCTTGTGGCTCTTCACGTCCCTTACCAGTTTCATCTCCATCTGACTTTGGACCTTCTATCTCTGCATGCCTGGGCAATGTTTATGGAGTGATGTTTCCTTGTGATTATGCACACACCTTTGTTTTGGTACATCACCATCAGTTTTAGAAGTGTCACAATTGTTACAAAGCTTGTTTTGTACGTAGTTGTCTGTTCTGCTGCATCACTCCTTCCATGTCAGTTTGTAAAAACATTCTTTGAAGGATATCTCTCATCTCTGATCCACATTGGTAGCAGCTTCCTGCATCTGCAGAGCAATATATTTTATTATGATTCATAGACGTTCCCTTTTTGTCCACTGGAAACGGTAAAAGCTTCCATGAACTAAAACATTCCTGTGGTTTTTGGATAATTTAAAAATATTTTGTCTATTTTATTCAGTTTTTTCTGCTTAAGAGTTTAAGCTATATACAGGAAACAGGGAAAGGTTGTTGCTGTATTCTTTTATTTTTATTTTTTTAAAGTATCACTGTGCATGTTTTCTGGCTCATATGTTCAGGTTCACTTGAAATTCAGTTTTGTATTTTTCTGTTTAATCTGTTCATTGGCACAAGGGAAAATTTGGTGCAGATGCCAAGCTCTCTTATTCCAGTCTCTGTCTATTCAACTTCAGCTTTCGCTAAAAATAAGTTTATTTTTCAGGGCCAAAGACGTGTTGAAGAAAATTAACAACAGTAATGGGTGAGAGGAGGAATGATGTATTTCTATTGTCAGCAGAATGTGATGGCATCACAATTGTGGAATCTGGGATGACAACTGTCCATTAAAAAAAATGCCTCCAGCTAAGAGCCTAATACCTTCTCTTGTCATTAGAGCAGAGTGATGTTTTGCAGGAAGTGGCATATAATCAAGATACTGTTCTGTGAGTTAAAACTGAAAGAGTTTCAAGCAGAAATTTAATTATTGTTTTAGTTTCTGCTTCTCAGGCACATCCATGGCATAACCATTTGAACTGAGGTCATGCAGCTGGGCTGTTCCACAATCAGCCTTTATTACCTGTTTCCCTGTGTGAAAGGTGACCTTGGTTCTTTTGCATTTCCTACAGCTTGGAGTTCTTCCATGAGATTTCATTTACATTCCAAAATGTATTTTGGCAGTCAGTCACCAGGGTACTTGAAAGACAAGTAGTGAACAGAGGGGAGGTCTCAGGTATTAGCTTTAAATTATAGGATTAGTTGCAATTTATTTATTTTTTTTTTAATAGCACACATTCTGTCATATATTCCAAAGGTGCAGGCATTTCAGCCAGATATACTATGCATGTGAGAAAAGTGTATCATTTTGCTATTTGCTTGCCTATTTAAAAACAGTCTTTTGGTATCTAGTCTGGAAGAGACAGCCTCTACCATCTTGCAACTGTTCAGCCGTACAGAGTGGAAAGAAATAATTGGCTTACAAAAATAGAAAAATTCTGATATGTTTATATTATGTATTATTTCAAATTTGGTAGGAAATATTTTATTAGCAAATGAACTCATAAATTAGAATTCACTTATAGATGGTTCACAAGTCCAGGATTGAATTGCGAAAGATCAGTTGAAAACTTTCAAAGTACTTTTTAAATAGAAAACAGTTTTAAACTGTTTTTATTTCCTGTAAAGTTTCATAGTGATTTTTTTTAATTTTACTGGAAACACTGTGTGCTTAAAATTCAGAATAATTTATCAGATGTAATTAGAACAATTTCCCAGACAAAAGGCAGAAATGATCATCCTGTTACACGCTTTGTATACAGCAACTCTGAGCTGCCTCTTCCTCCAGCTGCAAAGACAATGGTACATGGAAAAATTAGTCTGATAAGGAATTGTGCCTTGGAGGAGAATGGTGGAGTTGAGGGGGTGGGATAGGGACACTTGAAGGGGCTCAGATATTCAAAGGTGAGTACCTATCTGAATAAAATCTGTGCTCATTTGTTTTATCTAATAAAATAGGTTTTCTAGGAGCAGATATTTTCTCACCATCTCTGACTAACTGAATTCATGTGCAGGACATGAGCTGAGGTCATATGTTAGTGAATAAAGAAGCTTTTGGGGTACAGAGTGTAATGCAGATAGCAGGAGTTACTAGAAGAAAGAGGAAAGGAACAAATACTCCTCTCTGCTTGCATATAGAGAACTATCAGTGGCATTAAGTACTTTGAGGTGGAATCCTGTCTTATTTCTTTTTATGTTCTATGTAAACCTACAGATGTATAATGCATCAATGCTCATAGTTTATTTAAAGGATCTTTATTCTGATTTCCACTTCGTTTCAGGTGATGAGTTCATTTCTATCATGGGCATTGCAGTTGAGCTTTCAGCTGCTAGTGAGGCAGGGCACCTATTTTGCTTTTCCCACTTTATAATCAGTTCATTCAGTATTTAGCCAGGCATTCTTTCCCAGGCTCTTTCTGGGAAGAACGAGCCCTCTGCTTAATATCCCTTTGTGTACGTACAAGAGCATGTTGTTCATTTTCTGCTGTTTTTAGAAACTCCGTGGGAGAGCAATCTTTAGATTATTATTATTATTTTTGGCTTAGGTTTAGATTTAAGGACTATTTTTAGATTTAAGCTTTACCTGCAAATACATGCAAATACAGATACTGAATGAGTGTTCAAGTTTATATTCCTTTGCAGTATATATTTTGTATTATTAAGGTGGCTCGTTGAGTCTCTGTGAAAGTGATTCTGTTCTTAGGCTTTCTGGTGTGAGTCAAAGAAGCCTTTTTGACACCGGAAAATTTGCTTAAATAAAAACAAAACGATTCCCTGTTTCAAAGTACACTTTTGGTTTTCATTTATAGATATTGCAATGATGTGATCTTTTGCTCTCCTGTCTGGAAACTACTATCTGCTGAACATCTGCAGTGAAAATATTGTGATTCAGCAACTTTTGCAATGTTATTCTAGGAACACTGTTAATATTTTTAGTTCCATTGGAGAGAGCGAGAAAGAGACTTTGAAGAGTTTTTTGTAAGAGGTAAACTGAGATGTTGTAATTTAGTTCTGTATGGTATGATTTTGTGCCCACTCACACCTGTGATCCTTCCCATCTTCGTTGGTTTAGAAGCCAGAACATCATAGAGGGTTTTTCACCCAGGCTTTGTGTGCGTGCAGAAAATAAGCACTTGGCTTACCAGTAGCTTCCTTCTCTGACAGGTTTCATTTCATCCTATTCACACCAGGACTGGAGTTAAAAGCAGAAACACCTGCTTTGCCCTCACACTTAAATGTTTATTGGGTGCCACTGTTTACACTTCAATGAAGTCTCTTTGTCCATTACCTAACCTCCTCCATTACTGCTGCCTGGATTTGTGGTGCCCTTTATCCATTGACCTTAAGACACGTGAGAATATTTGGTAAAGCTCCACACCTATATTTTGAAATCATTATATACAATTTATACATGAGAAAATTAAGGCACATGGAGATTAAGCAGCTTTATTTGTATTTACTTCTGTCATTATTACTTTCTGTTTGTCAGGATGGTCAAGAGAACAAATGTTAGGGTGTGAGTCACGAATGCAGCATAATATGGGTCAGGAACATATATGTTGCTGCATATGCAGCATAATATGAGTCAGGAACAGTAATCCCAGATTGACGCGCATCATGGCTTTGACTTTTCTAATTACTTTCTGCACCAGGGTTAGTATCTCCTTGCCTGGGAAGGGGTAGAAAGGTTAAGTATTTTTTTCCAAATGCTTTCTACGTGTTAAGACAAAGCATGGGGGCAGTGAAATCTTTAGAAATAGTTTCACTGAATGCTGGCAGCAAACCAGCTTCATTTATGAAAGTAAATCTAAGGAAAAAAATATTCTTAAACTGTTCTTGTACTGTTTCATCCAGAAGGATGGGAACTAGCTGTTTGGCAGGGGGGTTGTGAGCATTCTTTTTGTCTTTCTTAAGAAGAATACACGTAAATTTTGCCAATTTACTAACCCCTAAGTTCTCTAAAGAACGTATTGATATTAAGCCTGCTTCTTGCGGGGTCAGCAATAGCTAAGCAGGATCTTTGAGGCAGCCATTTGTTGTGAATGCCAGGGACACCTACAGTCCTTGGCAGCAAAGACTTTGGTGGTGTTCCCTGTTTGTGTCCTGTCAGCAATGGGTAGAAAATATTTTTATTTTTTTAAGTGAATGGTGGAAAGATGGTTAGCATGAGAAAGGCAAGAGCAGAAGGCAAAAGTTGATGTGGTAATGGGACAAGACAGGGGTGAGTGGAGATCCATAGATAAATATACTAGAACATAGGGCAGATGACCACAGGAAAAAAAACTGTAGAAAGCAGTGGGGGGGGGGGGGGGGGGGGGGGGGGTAGGGGCAGGATAGAGCAGAACAGCTGGGTAGAACAGAGGGGAAGAAAGGGCTAGGATGAGCAAAAGAAGCTGGGATGCTGGGCAGGAACAGGGATTTCAGATTGCCACATAGCCTTCTGCTTCAAGAGCTGCTCCATTAGCTCAAGGGATAGTGGATTGTGCTGTGCTGAGCATGAACAGTCTTCACAAATTGGTGGTGTGCCTGTACCATGGAAGATCAGCATAATTCTGAATGATGTTAGCACTTCTATTCAAGACACAGAACAAAGTATAAGAAATAGTTTTCTGTCTACATAGAATATTCATTAAAGTTATAAAACTGGAAAGCCCTTTTCTCAAAAGATGGGAATCGATGGAATTATGTTCAGTCCTCTTATCTTTTGGTATAGTCACACAGTATTTTTCACTAGGAGAATACCCTCATAATGCTTTATTTTCCAGAGACTTTGTGGACTTCCTTTGCTGATGGCAGAGTCAGACTGAGAATAGATAACACATGTCCGCAGACTCCCATAACAGTTCATCAGATGTTCAAGGAGAGCCTAGAAAAATACGGATCTCTTAATGCTTTGGCAAGCAGAAAGAATGGAAAGTGGGAGAAGATAACTTTTTCAGAGTATTATTGCTTTTCCAGGAAAGCAGCCAAGAGCTTCTTGAAGGTAGGTACAGAAAACACAACCAATTCCCTTTTCTCCCTTTGTCTCCTCAAATAAATAAATAAATAAATGATAATTAAAATTGTTTTCAGTCAAAGAGATAATATTTCCATCGTTGCAGGTAAATGCCACTGTTTCATTCAGGCATAGGTACAAAGTTCATCATGAGGTCTTAAGACAAAAAATAAAAATTGTGCTGTATGTTTCTCTCCAACATGCCTATATTGTATAACTTCATCCTTATTACTTTTTAGCTTGGTCTTGAACGATTCCACAGCGTAGCAATCCTTGGATTTAATTCTCCGGAATGGTTCATCTCAGCTGTTGGAGCTGTTTTTGCTGGGTAGGATTTGCTTCCCTTTTGTGTAGGGATTTCAAGGTTTCAGTTGTGTGAGGTTTAGAAATGTAGCAAATTGTTATTTGGTGTCACATCCTGGAAGTTGTGCTGCAGCTGATTAGCCTATTCAGCAACCTACTGGAGTCTCATAGCTTTGAGTGTATCTGGAATAGTCCGGACACTCATAAATTGAACCTGTTTGCTATGGACTTAATTGTGACAGTCACATATCTTCTCTTACTGGAAGATGTAGGATACAGAGGACAGTCCCAGTTTTATGTCAGTGATACACGATATCTTCAAGTGAATGAAGTGACAGATAAAATACTCGCTAGCCTGATTCCTTCTGTCCTGATACGTGTTAATACAATTTGGATTTGACCTCTTAGTCTGTTTCTCTGCCAGTGAAATTCAAACTGGTATCTGTGTGCAGCTTGAACAAAAAGAGCACATGGTGTTTTTTGTTCTGTTTTGTTTTACCACTTATTGAGCTAACTCCCCTGTAGCCTCAAGTAGGCTAAAATAATGAATCCTAGCCTACAGCATCTCCTACTGCATAGAGTTCAGGGATTTATTTTGCATATATCATCCAAGTATATCTGAATACTTGAAACAAACATGATAGCTGTGCTGATGTGTACCTCCACATCCTCATATTTTCATCTTTCATGTGATCTCTTACTCTTTCTGGATGTTAAATGCATGTATGTGTGTATATAAATATATGTTCTAATATATAATTTTGGATATAGAGGAATTGTCACAGGAATATATACAACCAATTCACCAGAGGCCTGCCACTACATTGCTTATGATAGCAAAACCAACATCATGGTTGTGGAAAATCGGAAACAACTGGACAAGATAATGCAGGTATGAAGTGGCTCAAAAATTAATTGACCAAATACCAGGCTATGCTGTCATCAACATAGAAGAATAGGAATTGTAGAGCTCAAGAGGTTTGGTTCATACATGTTTCTTTCTAGAAATAGGAAAAAACAGCTGTGGCAATCACTGCTGTATCCATCTGAGGGTTTTTTGGAGCTATTATTTCAGTCTTTGCTTCTTTCAGAAAAAAAAAAAAGTATAACTTGTTATACTTCTAATGATATATGCATAGTGGCTATCGCCAGGCCACTCCATTTGTAAAAGCACAGACTGATCAGTTCAGTTCTGTGATAAAGTCAAAGATATATATGAGCCACTGGGTCTCACAAAGTTGAATGAAATTAATGCTCTCTGAAGGCCATCCAAAGCAGAGAAAGACTGTAAGCCTGCAGCTTTATATTTTTATTTATCCTTAAAATATGCAAATTGCTTCCCTTTTTTTTCTTCTCTTTTAGGAAGATAAAACATTTTATTTATTTATTTTTAGCAGTTTAACAGTTTTTATTGGGGATGGTTTCTTCTATCTTTATTGGGAACCACAGGACCTATGGTCAACTTTCAGCTTGAGCTTGACTGTTCCTTGATATGTCATAGAATCATAGAATCATAGAATATCCTGAGTTGGAAGGGACCCTTAAGGATCATCAAGTCCAACTCTTGACACCGCACAGGTCTACCCAAAAGTTCAAACCATGTGACTAAGTGCACAGTCCAATCTCTTCTTAAATTCAGTCAGGCTTGGTGCAGTGACCACTTCCCTGGGGAGCCTGTTCCAGTGTGCGACCACTCTCTCTGTGAAGAACTTCCTCCTGATGTCAAGCCTAAACTTCCCCTGCCTCAGCTTAACCCCGTTCCCGCGGGTCCTGTCACTGGTGTTAATGGAGAAAAGGTCTCCTGCCTCTCGACACCCCCTTACGAGGAAGTTGTAGACTGTGATGAGGTCTCCCCTCAGCCTCCTCTTCTCCAGGCTGAACAGGCCCAGTGCCCTCAGCCGTTCCTCGTACGTCTTCCCCTCCAGGCCTTTCACCATCTTCGTAGCCCTCCTCTGGACACTCTCCAACAGTTTCATGTCCTTTTTATACTGTGGTGCCCAGAACTGCACACAGTACTCGAGGTGAGGCCGCACCAGCGCAGAGTAGAGCGGGACAATCACCTCCCTCGACCTACTAGCGATGCCGTGCTTGATGCACCCCAGGACACGGTTGGCCTTTGATGTCCTTTGATGCAATAAGAGAAAGGATACTGACGAACCTTTTTGGTGTAATTTAAGTCTTTTGGCTGAAACCAGACTTAGCAGATTAGCAGACTGTGTAGCATCTCCTCCTCCCCCTCTTTTATTTTTGAGCCAGTTGGTTGTGAGTTTAGGGGAGAATACTTGAGGGAGGAGGGAAACAGGAGCTTTCTTCTGACTGTCGACCCAATTACAGTTTTGGCAGTACTTCAGTGGGGAAAAACACAAGATACGAATAACAAATTATAAATTTGTTTTTAAAAAACCTAACAGATCTGGAATCGTTTGCCACACTTGAAAGCAGTTGTGCTGTACAAGGACTCCATTCCAGAGAGATGTCCAAATCTGTATACGGTATGTGAAATGCTAGAACAGAGTTACAATTATTAGGGTATTATTTATTTAATGAATTTCTACTATGTTTGATCTGTGGAATGTCTGCCATTCAGAATGCATTGCTGTCTTCCAGCAAAAGCATTCACAAGCTTCATGAGCGCGTTCTATTGAATTTAAGTGTAACTTGGTTTTTGATGCTTGACATTTAAAATTAGTTACCTTGCTTGACTGTCTTTTGTTGTAATGTTTTTTTTTCTTTTTTTTTTTTCTTTAACTGGATTAACAAAACACCTGTAGGCTTCAGGTCGGAATATGTACTCTCAAACCATTAAAAATAAGTTGTACACTGGCTGTAGCGAAAGCTGCATTGTGGGTGGTTACACTGGATCCAAGGACATGAAAATGTCTGTACTTCTACTGATGATAGTTGCATCATGTTTGCACCAAATATTTCTGGTGTCAGGCAACAGGTGAAGAGAAATTATTACAAGCTACACAAAGCAGAGCGCATTTTCTTAGCATGTCCAGAATCTTCGGGTCACACGGTAAAAAAGAAAGCTGAAAAAAGGACAAATGCAGGATCAGAAATTTGAGTCGTAGAAGTCCAGCACTTAAGAAATGTTAGGACTTGTTTTTTGTAAAAATGTTTTTTTCAATATGTTGAAAATATTAATGTAATAAGACTACAAAACCTTTCTTTTTAGTTGGCTTCAGATTATCAGATTCCAGTCTGAAAAACCTCTTAATGAAGAGGGAACAGCATAGCAATACTTATGCTGTGTTGAATTTCATAAACTTTATAAACAGTAACCAGTGTTACAACACTGTACATATCAGTATGGAGTATGCTTTACATCCCAGTATAATAAAAATGTTACTTTTTTGCTACTTATATTTCATAGTAAAAGGAATAAGGCTAGCAGTTAATTCTGGAACAGCATTCTGTTGCTGAAGCCTAAATGCTTGAGAATTTGGGAAGAGAGAAGTAATGCATGTTTATTCTGTTACTGAAAGATACATCAGAAAACCGCCCTGTTCAAGTGCCAGGTCAGACATGTTTTCTCAATGGAGAAGGGTAGCTTTGAGAAAGTCTTGACAGTTGCCTTAGTTTATATTGTGTAAAGGAAAAGTTGGAGATCAAATCACCAAAGGCAGAAATGGTTTTATAACTTGGATGGAAAGCAGGGCACCCAAACCACATGGCATATGATGAAAGACATTTATGTTACAAGTTGACAGCAGAGATGTAATGAGCAGTTGCTGCAGTAGGGGCCAAGCTTTAGTTCTCTTATCAGCGCGTGTTACCAGAAGCCAAATGCAGTCAGTAATGTGTGTGGCTGTTTGTACCTTTCATACTCCCGAACAGGGAACACTCGCTATTGCAGGTACTGTTCAGTAAATAAAGCCTGGGCAACAGATGCACAAGTGATTAACGCATTCTGGTATGAGAAGACAGTAAGGTCAGGGAAACAGGAGCAAATGATAAGTCACATAGAAACAATTACGCCCTTGACACCTCCAGGCTTTCCAGGAGCTGGTGAAATAGATATGGCTGTATTGTGTGGGCAGAGATAATATGTGACGAATCCTTTCTTGCTATGGAGCTGTGCTTTGTACTCCCCCTCTTCCCAGAGAGATGATATGGTGGAAGAACGTATGAAGCTTGTCACTGGTGGTTAGCAGAATGCTAGGACAGTGTTGCCACCCAAGGAAAGGAAGTCTGGGTGCCACAGAGGTTAGCTATTGTAACCTTAGTAGCACACTAGCAAAGAGCAGAGGAAGGAAGGAATGAACTCCCCCTCATGCACAAGGGGAGGTGTTAACCTCTGCTGTCCTTTGCGTCATCCTCTTCATTACTCTGTGGTCCTAGATATATCTCCAAGAAATCATTGTGGAACAGAGGTGCTGCATCTTGCTCTTGGATAATACAGTTTTGTAGCACTGGTTGAATCATTGGATCTCAATGGGAAATTGACTCTTGGGTTATTGACTAATTTTTATTTACCCTAGTTTTCATTGCATTGAAATCAGTGGCATACCCAGCAGGATATCAGGTGCATGTGGTAGATGCATCTGAGGACGACCAATAAAATATAGACGATCAGGCTCAGCATTTTTCTGGGACCAATTTGTGCTGCACAAAAGTCCACCATCATGAAAAGCTTAGCTCATTCTAGATGGAGCCAAATCTGAATGGAGATTGTGACCAGCATTATATGTTCTGTTTGCTATTAAATAGCAGGGAATTTGGGCAAGCACTCACACATCTAGATGATGATGCTTTTGCACAGAAGCTTTCATTCTTTTGCTTTATATAGTTAGGTACAAGAACGGTGAATTATAAGTTGAATGTCATAAGTGTGCTCTTAAAATGTAGATCCAGATTCTTTTAAATAAGAATCACAGTCCTTCTAGGTGTAAGATAGTAACAGAATTTTATCCTCTACGACTTGTACGTAACATCTGTCTTAGATGAGGAATGGAACTACCATTCCCTTCATAGGCACTGGGAAGACATGTAGCAGCATAATTTCAGACAGTCTGTTTGCCGTTTCCACATAAAGTTATACGCTAGTCTTATGTTCTTTACATAGGCAAGACCTGAAGTAAACTTGTCTTGGAAATGTGTCCAGAGTAAGGCACTAAACTTTTTCTGCCATTCTTTTTAGGCTGGTAAGGTGCCTCATCTTTTCCACTTGCAAGGAGGTTCACAGTACCCTCTATTTTCTGTTACATGCTCTAGATGGAAGAGTTTCTGGACTTGGGAGATGACATATCTGATGCTACTTTGGATGATATTATTAACTCCCAAAAGCCGAATCAATGCTGTGTACTAATATATACATCCGGAACAACTGGGAAGCCAAAAGGAGCCATGTTGAGTCATGACAATGTATGTAATTTAAACTCCTCCTTTAGTATAAAAATAGCAAAGTATGAGGATACTTATTCCTGTTTTTTTGTTGTTGGTGGTTTTTTTTTTGTTTGTTTTTTAAATGACTGGTGCATAATAGAAGAGCATTGAAATTTCCCTGGTTTTGCAACATGGGTAGTGTACTACAAAGCAATATTCAAAATGGAGTCATCTGATTTTGATTATGTTTAAGCACAGTGAAGAATAAAACTACATTCTAAGTAGCACTTCACAAATACGAATGTAGATTATGACTATGCGTTTTGTTACTTGCTGGGTTGTTTGTGAGATACAGTACTTTACTTCTGCAAATAATTTATATATAGCCATAACATTTCAATGATGTTTTGTCATCTTAAAACAAATCGTATGCATCAGCCAGCTGCTGTAAGAGCCTGAGACAGACTACTTTTGCAAATTTTATTTATTTATTTTAAGTCCTAGTACTCAAGTACTCATAATCACTTTAGCTGTATTGTTGTGAATAGTAAATTGCCTACTGATGGAGAACAGCAAAGCCAACTGCAAAAATGGCTCTCCATAGGTCTACTAGCTAAGATCTGGACTGTAGTTGATTTATTTTACTTAAGGTGGCTGAGCAGGAGTGGGAAGTGGTAGAGAGCCTCTCTGAACACTTACTCTGTGAAAGGGCTGGCCTAAGTTGTCACCTCTCCTCTTAGAAGAATGCAGAAACTACTACAGATAGTGAGCAATTCACCCAAATGTAGGGAATCAGCACAGTAATATCTGGAAGGAGAACATAGTGTAGTCAATAGACAAAAAGACTGATCTGACATTGCAAATTCCATGCTCTTCTGTCTCAAAGGAGTCTGGTGTCATTTCCATGTTAGCTGCCAAACTATTTCTGGCTGATGATCACAAACAGGCTATTTTTATGTTGACCAACAGTGGAAAACACTCCTTGCCTGTAACTGCTGCTGCCTTCTTTAGTCAAAAAAAGTTTGCCACTGTCCATCTGTAAAACCAATGCTGAGTCAGTCATATGCACCCACAGAGATCTACTGTGAGCATGCCTGCATGCTGTGAGGCTTTGGAGGATAAAGAGGATAAGCAATCAATATATCTACGTTTCAAAGACATCCCATTCTGCCTACCGTGTTTAAGTCTCCAATAGCTCCTTGACCAATGCTGCCACCTAAATTTGGAGTGGCCTGTCCTGACAGCATGCTGCTCCTTAAAAGCTTTTCTGGAGAATTGCTATTTTTTTTAGACCAAACCTACTCTCATGTTAACCTTAAAATTTATTTTGAAGAAAAGCAACTGGCTGAAACGTACCGTGAGAGCAGGTATTGCACAATTTATATCTTTTCCCTGCTGTGCTGAGTAACTTTTTTTGTGTGTCCTATCCTACCTAGTTTAGATTAGACTCCTCTGAAAAAGCCATCTCCTCTTTTTCTGCTGTGCATATGCATATATTTATTTTCCTCTTACCATCACACATATTTGTGGATCTTGCATATACTGTATTCTGTTAATGAATATACGTGTATTTATCATCCTTCGGCTGCATCTTCTGACGTAAAGAACTGGGAAGAAAAGGGGGAAACACAGTTTCACTAAGAAGTCAAGCAGTGAATCTTAACCATTATTCACGTATGTAGTTCTGCTTATGGGAGGTGTGTGTGTGGATGTCACTTGTGAACCACTGTGGTGAATCTCCCAGAGACTTCCAGAGGAACAGGATACAGCTGCTAATCATGTGGTGATCAATACAATGTGATGAGCTTCTTGCAGATATTCAACTGTCCTGTGAGCTCACTGATCACTGAGTATTTATTGTTCTCTTTCAGGTAAACATATAGACATACACTGATGAAAAGTGCCAGCTAGATAGAAAGCGTGCACAGTAGGAGACTTGCAAATGAAGGGGCTGATCAGTTTTCTTGTCCATCCAGGCTGAAGCTGCCTTACTTAGTGCACCACTAGGACCTGGGGAGTTGGTAGTGTTCACAGCAGGTCAGGCAGCAGAAAGACTGCATTTACTTCTGTTATCTGCAGGCTGTTGTTGCTACTAGATGAGTTCATCTTGCTTTTGGCTGGATGGCACCAGAGGAATGGCCATCTGGTATGTTGTTAAAGATTGAAGTGTCTTCGGCAATTTCTGTAAGCAGACTTGTCATAGGTTTGTTGGCATAGCATAAGGATCCTTAGTTTGTGTTAAAAGAAAAAAACAAATCTAATTTGCTTATTTTTTATTTAAATAGATAACTTGGACATCAGCACATTGCAGCAGAGCAGGAGATATGCAACCTGCAGAGGTCCAACAAGAGTCCATAGTCAGTTATCTTCCACTCAGCCACATAGCTGCACAGATATATGACCTGTGGACTGGAATCAAATGGGGAGAACAAGTTTACTTTGCTGAGCCAGATGCTCTCAAGGTATCTGCCTTGCATTGCACCTGATTAAGCTTGCATTTTTTCATCTTAGAAAACATCCAAAGGAGGAAATGTGTTTTTTGAAGAGGTGCAGAAGATGGAGAGTCCATTATTTTAAGAATTATGGAAAACTAAAATCCTTTAGACTCAAGATGCAGTGCCCTGGACTCCATTTACCCATGTGGCGAAACTGCATAGAAAAGAGTCTCTTTGTAGTTATGAGTCCATAAACTGCTATAAGAAGAGTGTACCTGGAACTGGTCCCTTACCTCCCCCCACAAAAAGCTCATAAATGCATAAATGATACAACAGAGACTGAGAAGATCTTAGTTCCAGTGTTTTCCGTAATTTAACAGCTAACTTAACAATTTGTACTCAAAATATTCTGAATGTATATATATCTGGTAGTCCAGGTCTGTAAGCTTTAATTAAGGCAGAAGTGTGCCTCTAATGCAGAAGAAGTATAAGATTTTTGGGGGAGAAAGGGAGGCAGATGGAACTAAACCACCTGTGTTTTTTCCTTTTGGAGTACATGCTTCCCCTGATGTGTAAGAGCAGATCCATGTTAGTGAGTATACCTGATTGAAATAGGTTCAGCAGTCCTTGTTCATATCCTATATGTTTAGTGATGTTCTACATATTGTTATTGCAAGATGCAGACTGTATCACCAAACCTCTTTTTCACTTATGTGGACCTTTTGCAACGTTTTGAAATGATTTTAACAGGGCAGCTTGATCAACACACTAAAAGAAGTGCGGCCAACATCTCACATGGGAGTTCCCAGAGTGTGGGAGAAAGTCATGGAGAAGTTGAAGGATGCTTCTGCTCAGTCAGGATTTCTGAAGAGGAAAATGCTGTCATGGGCTATGTCAGTTAGCTTAGAGAGAAACCTGAACTGCTCAAGCAGGTAAGTATTATTACGAGTGAGATCTCCATCATCCCTGAAGTAGCTGTCTGCTTAAAAGAAATATCAAGCCTCAGTGAGACTCTCGAAATATAAACAGGTAAAATTTGGCCTAACAACACTGCAAATATAATGTAAGAGGGAGGATATAGTTATCAATTACAGTAGCCTAATCATAAACCCAAGTGACTGTTAAATGGGTCCCTCCATCTTCTCCAAGGATGTTTTTCCACTATCACCTCCCTGAACTCTGTGTCTTCTGTGAGTTGAACTGGCTAGTTTTCAGCTGGGAGAGGTCCAGCCTACCATGTGACTGTGCAAGTACTAGTTACTGGTATGAAGAAAGGGCATGAATTTGAAGGATCCGTGTGAGAAGGGGAAAATTCTCATTTTGAGGGCAGCCCAAACATAAACTCTCATGACAATTTGGAGTATGCACCACGGGAGCAAGGATACCTCATCGTGATACAAACTCAGGGACTATCCCAACCCCCTGAATTCTGTGAGCTCTAAATAGTCTGTTCTGAATAACAGGTATTTTCCTGGATAAGAGTACACAGATACTGAATATTGTATAAATTCAAATATTAACTTAATTCACAGTTCCAAAGTTCTTAAAATGTGAAATATGAAGTGTGAAATTACTTACTGAAAATGGAATTTCCAAAGATACTGCACATTGGTACTGATTTCCTTGTCTGATCTTCCAACTGCTCAGATAAGTTGTGTAAATTTCAGATTTTAGTGTTTCTCAAATGTTCATTTAACTGATAAAAAAATCAGGAATACCAGAACTTTGTCTTATGCAGTACATTTTTGTAGCCTCTTTTTCAATTTGCAGTATTCTGACACCTTAGGAGTTGGAGTTCACTTGCAATGAAAGACACTAAATAAATGAAACAAGGAGAAATAAGTTTCCTGTTCTTATTGATGTGACTTCTGACAACACACAAAACCAAAAGGCAAATATATCTCTAAACAAAACTTGCATCTGATTTTGTTATGGAAATTCTGTTGGTTCATCTGACTTACTACTATCTCTTCCTCTTTTGTGTTTTGTACTCAGCAGTGACCTAAAGCAGTTTTGGACAAGGTTAGCAGACTACTTGGTGCTTGCTAAAATACGCAACGCTCTGGGTTTTTCTTGCTGTCAGAAGCACTTTTGTGGTGCTGCTCCACTCAATACAGAAACACTGTATTTTTTCTTGGGTCTGAACATCACCTTATATGAGGCCTATGGAATGAGTGAAACCACAGGCCCACATTGCCTGTCTGGGCCATATAATTACAGGCAGCACAGGTAATTTTATAGTTAATTTTATGTGTTATATTTCATTATGAGAAAAGTATTTGCTGAGTTCAGCAATGATCTTACCACTTACTTTCTCTCAAGGCATTGCCAGTCTGTTGTGAGTTTGGGAGACAAAACATTCAAGTCAGAAACTGAACACATTTCCTCCATAGCATGCCAAGTCAAGAGCACTGAAAGTGATCTAAAGCATTTTATGTAGGACATAGTTATTAAATCAGACGTGTAGCATAGCCCTGGCCCATGGCAGGATAACTTTCAGATACGAGGCCTCAAAGAGAAAAGTATTTTTATGCCTAAAGGTACAGCGCAGGGTGTGTGTGGGGGGAACAGGAAGCACAAGGCAAGATACACAACTGAAAACTGACACTAATACATTGGTAGGTTCAGGGATTTGGTATTGTAGATGTCCTGCCGATATTAAATTTAGTATTGCTGTGTTCCCTGTGTGTGTTGCTGCTCTTTCCCAATAGCTGTGGCAAACCAGTACCTGGCTGCAGAGTGAAATTGGTGAATGAAGACACAGAAGGCAATGGAGAAATCTGTTTCTGGGGAAGGACTGTTTTCATGGGTTATTTAAATATGGAAGACAAAACAAAAGAAGCGTTTGATGAGGATGGGTGGCTGCATTCTGGAGATTTAGGAAAACTAGATGAGGATGGCTTTCTCTATGTCACTGGAAGAATTAAAGGTAATAAGCAAAATCTTGTATCATATTCGTAGTAACTATTCATCACTGTTCAGTCATATATCAGATGTGGTGCATCTAAATAAGTGTTTTTCTTTTAATGCCAGCAGAATTTGTCTAACAGGAAAGAAAAATAAACTTTCCTATGATGAAACTGCGGCATACTTTGTTTAGGGAAGGTTTTCCTCTAATCTGTGATAGGTGGGGATAATTCCGTTCCTACAATGAGGCTTTTCATTTCCCAGGCCCTTATTCATGATTACTAAGTCATATAAAATAATAATGCAGGTTTAATGTGTTGCCTTTGATTCTAATGGTCCATTAAGCTCTTCCTTTGAATCTTGCCCAGTTGTTGTAATTACACATTAGAATGTTTAGACAGTAACAGGAGACAGCCCTCTATTATATAAAAGCTATTGCTGGAGGTCAGAGCTAGGTTCCTCTGATGCCTTAGGCAATTTGTTTGCAGAGGCCACTATTGAAATTTGAAAGTGGAGGGGAGAGCTAAAGCAATAAACCTGGGTGTTATTACAGTACATAGCTTGAAGTCTTGCTTGAATAACACTGGTTGTTGGTACTGTGGAAGCACTTTTTCAAAATGTGTGTTTGTAGAGTGAGATTTGTCATGGTAGACATAACAGAAGAAGATTTAAAAACTGAGTAACCATCATCTTAGAATATGTGATGAATCACTAGGGAGAGAACATGGATGAGTGAATTTGTCGTAACAGTAGCCTGTTAGGCATCAGGATGTCAGTAGATGCTATTAATAGCCTGCACCAAATACAGTTACCTTGATTTTAATTTGCTTTCTCATCTGATCCATTTTTCTTTCAGGTAGTTATTAACATCTTCTAGTCTCATTCTGTCATAACATTTGTGTTGCACTCGCATCTTCCTTGATTGTTGAACTAATAACGATTACTCTAAATTACAGGGTAGGATACATCTGGGATAAAATAAGCGTCTGTCCAGTTTCATTCAAGTTTTAAATCCAAGTCCAAATAAGGTAAAATGTAATAGAAGGTAGTAAAGAAGCTCTTCTTTTAGTGACTTCTTTGTTTGGTTGATTTGTTCTTACAAGTTTTAGGACTCATTATATTAAGCATGAAACAGTAGAAGTTGCTTTTTGATATCTGAGATCCAGAGAAGTTGCAAAGCACCAAGATTTTGCTAGAGGAGCCCATACAGGGAGTATCTGTATAGTTGTGCAAAAAGTTATTGCAATTATTACAGTTTTCCTGATCAGCTGGGAAAAAGCTGACATTTCAGATTGAAAAACTAGGAAAAAAATGGCATTAGGGCAAAAGGAAAGGAAATAAAGAAAACCTTACAAGTTTGGATACACAACAGCTTTGCTGTATTTATGTGGTTTGGCAGAAATCTCTCTTTCTATAAACACGTCATGCTTCCTCAAATGCACTCACTGTGCTGACTAGGGAGAAATAACATTTGTAATTATGAGATGAATGTGTACTCCTTACCAGAATGTGGAGTACGGATTGGGAGTTACTTCTGATCATTGCTGTTCAGGAGCAGTAGAGATGGTAAAGAACACGTGTGAGCGCTGAAAGGGTGTCATATTCCGTTGATTGCATCTAAATTCTTTTATCACTGGCAGTGGATTGGGAATCAACCCAATCTTTCATATATAATCTGCATTATTACACAAAGGACTGGTCTGCCATTGTCCTGTGTTATTTATTTCTTGAAGCATGTTACTTATTAAAACCCTGCCAAGACTATTATTTGAGGGCAGGGAGAACTCAACAGTGTAATGAAAACAGGGTTGAAACTTAATAGGATAATTCTGAATCATGAAAATTTCAGTAAATAGGTGTATTATACTTAAGAATGAATGCATTCAAATAGTTATACATGCCCTTGTCAATGGTCAGTATCCCTACCACTGTTTACAAACCTCAAAAATACTAAGATTCCAGTCTGTCATTATACTCCTCTCATGTCAAGAGTAGGGCAGGAATGACTGCTTCCGCTGTGAATTTCCTCTCCCAGATCTTGACCTCTCCCTCCTCACATTCCTTTCCCTTCTTTCCATGTTGCTTCTGTGGAGCCTTCATGTAGTAGTAACTTGCTTTTGTCTGGCCCCTGTTGGTGACTCTAAGAATTAAATATGATGTTAACCATGAACTTGCTTTTTGGTGAATCAACAACAGTAAAATAAAGAGTGAATCCTACACTAGTTGGGAAGAGATGACTGCTCAGAGAAAAGGTATGTATCATACAACTTATGAGATGTAACGGTTACTGGATCGTATAAAAATATATTATCCTATATGCAGTTGGACTAGATGATCTCTGAAGGTCTCCTTCTAACTGAACTATTCTGTATCTGGAGCTTGTTATAATGGAATTTGCATTGTGTGTACATGGGAGCAAATGTGTTACGTGGAGGGAGAATTGAAAATCTGAGCACATACTCGAAATTATCAGCATTGCTATTTTGAAGAGAATCATACAACTTAATAGGTTTGGTTCTTTTTGAAAACTACGAATTTCTGCATGTCAGAATAAGAAATGTGGATCCATCCAGGAATTAACCTGTTCTTTAGAGTTTATTTGAATTCAACTAATAGCCCTTGTTTGTTTGTTTGTTTGTTTTTCTTCTCCTAGATTTGATTATTACAGCTGGAGGTGAAAATGTGCCTCCAGTTCCAATTGAAGATGCTGTGAAAAAAGAACTCCCAATTGTTAGTAATGCCATGGTGATTGGAGACAAAAAGAAGTTTTTGTCCATGTTGTTGACCCTAAAAGTACGTTAGTTTTAATACTCATATCAGTGAAACTGTTATACCTGCACCTAACAAAATGAGGAGGATTGTGAACCATTGGTAGAAAGACACAAAATTTGATAGGAGGGCATTGGTTAAACAACAAAAAAATGCATGGGAACTACAGACCAAATCATCATGATTTGAACTTGTTATGGTTAGATGATACAATGACAAACAGTGCAGTGTTGAGCTAAATGCTTCTCTGTAATGATGAAATAAGTGGTAGGTCTGGTAGAAATTCAAGGTCATTAGACATATTTTAATTGACGTGTTTCAGGTCTGTTCATGTCTTCTGCTTTTAAGCTTTTTTTTTTTTTTTTTGCATTTGATAGCTAAGTAGAAAGAAAATAAAGCATTACCATCTATAGATAGATATTTCTGCTTTTTCAGGCTTAAATAATATTTGGGTGTTGGTGTTTGGCTGCTTTGATTTTTAAAAGCTGGGGAGAACGTGATCAGTTAATGATCATTGATTTAATAAACATTTAATGCCTTGTAAGAATAAGCATTTAATGATTTTCTTCATCTGATATTCTAGAGCGTACTGGATCCAGATACATCAGATCCCACTGACCTCCTCACTGAGCAAGCTAGAGAATTCTGCCAGAAGAGTGGTAGTAAAGCCACTAAAGTTTCAGAGATAGTAGCTACAAGGGATCAGGCAATCTACCAGGCCATTCAAGAGGGAATCAACAAAGTCAACATGAGTGCTACAAATAGGGTTCATTGTATTCAAAAATGGATAGTTCTGCCAAGAGATTTTTCCATTTCTGGGGGAGAACTAGGTAAGATCTGTTGATTTATCCTAATGAGCACACACTGTAATGGGGCTGCTGATCTAAGAGCATTCAAATCCAATTTCACAATAATGATACCAAAAGGTCATCCTAACAAAAAATGGAGGATAAAGTGAAGGATTGACAGAGCCCCAAACACAGGCTTTTGGGAATAAATTGGGAATTGTTTAAAAGGTTTCAAAACTATCAGCCTTTTAATTAGTTTCGGGGTCAGGGCGGGCAATGGGACACCTGGAAGTAGTCAGATATCACTCCCTTACACACAGTTGCCTTTGAAGTGCTCACTAGCGGGAGGCAACCTTACATACAATTGCTTCTCCTTTAGCAGAAATCTACACTAACAAAGTAGATACTCTCCCATGCAACGCTATTCAGTAGGAAATGTTATGAATGAAAGATTAAACAAAGTAAATTTTTGTTTCTGTTTCTGCTGCTGTGACTAACATCTTCTCTTAAGGTCCGACAATGAAGTTAAAACGGCTCACTGTGCTTGAGAAATACAGAAAAGAAGTAGACTCCTTCTATCAAGAATAAGAAGTCTTTCATCCAACCATTAAGGAAGACCTGTGAGCTAAAGAAAGTATTTCCTAATCATAAGCATTAAGGAAAATTTGTTTTTGTTATGTAGTCTAGTTTCACTAGAAAACTGCTCTATTAATTTAGTTATTTCTGATACTCACGTGAGAGTTTGTCCTGTTCGTATAGCAGCATCTACAGTGTGTCCTTTTTCTAATATAGCTTTTACTTTATGTCCTGAATGAACAAGATTAAAGACACCTGCATGTTATGTATGAAGTGGGTATAACTAATTAATTCCTCTAGACTGAAACAGAAGGAAAATCTTTATGCAGTGATTTACCTTTGTGTTGTTCTGTAGGAGGTTCGCTGTAGCTCATGTTTTATTTCAGTAGATCAGTAGTTAGCAGTAGTGTTAAACAAAACTGTTATACCATTCCACTGATAAAGATGATTATTAAAAAAAATAAGTCACAAGGCCTCTTTTCTTCTGTCCAAGGGAGAAGCAAATTTTCACTAGCATACCATTTTGGAGCCTAACCAACACTCTTCTGAAGGGCTAGACTTCAGTGAGACTTCTCTGAAAGCAGGAGGTCATCACTTTTTAAATCCATGTTGAAATAAGCGTTATTTCCCCTAAAAACAAGCACTCCAAGAAGTTGGGGGAATAGCTTCCTAAGAGTGAAAGACAAACTAGGTAATATAAGAGCTCTCGCATAAAAATAAGTTTGTGTTCTAAATCATAGTTTAAAGAGTTCACAGGACTCTTTAAAGCAAAAATATTTAGAAGGAAAGTTTATCTGTATTGCAACAGTATCATTGTGTTTCAATATTAATGTTGTACTAATGCTTACAAAGGGGAACTGTATTTCTTCTTCCCCTTATAAAATATAAATCACATCACATGAAGGGCTAAAGGGTCTGGTAGTGAGTAATATTTGGCAGAGTTATAATAGCGAACAACAACAGAGACTACAATTCTTGATTTAAAAACAAAAACACAAAAAACACCTTGCAGAACAGGCTATTTTCTCTATGAAAGTTCCATGATCAGTCTTAAACATCCTGTAAATTCAGTTTGTTGCAAGTACCAACAATCAGATCAATACACAAGCCATGACAGCAATCTAGGATTACAAAAACAACAAGCAATTGGACTTGGAAAACTTTATTTTTTCCCTATTTTGTGCGTAATGGTACTTCAGGAGTTCTTAAACAATATTAAAGGAAACAACACAGCCAGCAGCTTGCAAAACATAGAAGGAACTGTCATCCTATTCACCAAAAGCAGAGTACATAAGGAATAAAGCTTGTTGTCCCTCTACCACCATGGCATTAGGTGGTATAAAATAGCTGAGATGCTTACTATATAGAGCAATGCTAGAAGACAGACATTACCCAAACTAGTTTCAAGTCTGAAACAACCAGCCTAAATAGTCTCACTGAGAAGTAACTAAGAGGAGTAATACCTATTAACACAATAAAGCTTTAAGAAGTCTGGTTCTGGCACTAGGTATAATCCCATGCTATAGCCACGACTTGTAAAAATGTGCATTTCCTTGTAGGATATGCTAATGGAAAGCATACCCTAAGACATGTCGGTCAGAGTGACTCATGAGGAACTGTATGTGATGAAGGAGGGAAGGAAAAAAAGGTGCTTTTATGCTTACTGGACTTAGTAAGCAGTAAGAAAAAAAGAATTTGAGATTCCCTCCAATAGGGATGAAATGTATTTCTGAAATGTAGGTACCAGAGCCAAGCCTTTAACTCTGTCTTAATCCCTTTAGGACCAGTCCCTTACATTCCGAGTTTATAGACTAAAATTACTAGTCAGTGCAATGAGATACACTGCATAAAAACAAAGTACAACACAAAAAAGCAATACAGCAGAAGCCATAAAATATTTAGTATAAATTGGCAAAGTTAGTACTTTTCCTTCACAATATATGGCAGAAGTAAGTTTTTATAATTTTCTCTCTTTAGAACTCTGTTATAAATTAAACTGTGCTTGAGAGAGGAAAACATTTAAGAACAACTTTGGTACAGATGTGAAAAACAACTTTCTGTTAGTATTAGTTCTCACACCTAGCTGGTTTGTTGTTTCTTTATGTACATAAATTAAATCTCTAGATTTTTGCATTTCTTTATTCATGACTTTCAAAGGCAAAGCTGTATTTCATGAATCAGACCATCTGGAAGTGTTTTTTCATTGCTTTTAATGCAAAATTGCTGTTATTTCATACCCTTTTCTTTTTATAAAGGTTATCTTGTGCTACTGTTAGGCTGAAAATCTGCCATTTAAGTTTCAGTAAGACCAATAAAAGTAGGCTTTAAGAATTAAGGTGCTATTAGAATTCACTGATTCTGTTAATATTATATTCACGTAAATTTGCTTTGTGGAAAGTGAAAACCAGCTAGTTGAAATGGTAGACAGTTACAAGAAAAGAAAACAGTTTACTTACATGAAAACTTTCACCAGATAGAAACAAACGAAAGCAGGCACAAGTATCCTCTGTAGCCATTTGGACTAAGTTTATTAATGAAGAGACCCTTCCTAAAACGTTTGCTCTCTTAAGAGACAAAAGTTATATGCATATAGATACCAGGTTACACAACGTACTACTGTGATGCATCCTCTCAGAGTTATTACAAGCCGTATGAGATGTTTAGTCTGTGTCCTGTACTCTGCGGCAGATCTCCTCTGTGAATTCTGAGCACTTTGCATTACCTCCCAAGTCTTTTGTCAAGACCTGAAGGAAGAAAAAATGGTATTAATAAAACTGCAGAGGCAGGACTACCCCCATTAAACGTTTTATCTTCTACATGTTGTACATGGGTACTGAATACAAATGAGAGACTACATCACATATGAGTTTTTCTGCATTCCATATAGCTTTCATCAATAACAACTATGCAAACTGAGGCCAGTAGAGAAAAGTGAGTACGAACATGGAGCGTTGTTATCTCAGTGTGAGATTTTGTCTTAACTACAGGAAGAAAGCAAATTTGGCCAACGCTCTCAAGTTAAGTATTAACTTTTTTTTTCCTTAACAAGTTTGTCCTTTGGAAGTAAAATCCATATATGAGGACTCAGCACAAAGCTAACTAATTAAGAGTATTATTCAGTAAGGTTTTTGGGGGGGTTATTTTTCCAAGGAACTCCACATGGAAAAAGCACACGGACAGCTCTCAAAATGCTGCACGTTAACAATTGTCTCATGTTTGCTTAGTTAAGAGATGGAAAAACAGACAGTTAAACTTTCTTCAAGTACAACTCCTGTCTGCCAGCATGAGGATTGTAAAATAATACTTAAGAAAGTGGGCAACGTTGCTTGTCCAACCTAGTCAGATTAAAGCAGCCTAAGAGGTAATTTAAAAATCATTAGTTCTCCCCTTATATCACACACACACAGATCCCAATTAAACAGCTTGGGGTGGGGAAGGGAAGAAACGGCAAGCATGAGAGGCAATAAAATGTTACTATTTTAGAATCTTGTAATTTTAATTGCATCATGCTTTTTTCAATTTAAAAAGATTCTCTCCATTGTGAGCATGTAATCATAACATCATAAGCGACTAGTAAACAAGTAGCCATGTCACAAAACTTGCACTGTTATCTTCTGTAGAATTACTGACCTGCAGATGGAGAATTTCATTTCCAGAGCAGTAAATGGAAACTTTACAGGAGCACCTCTTTATTCACTTGTAAGTTTATTTTTTTGTTTGTTTGTTTGTTAACTGGCTCCTACACACAGCAAGGTAGCTGCAAACAGACCACTTATGAAATGATGACAGCTTTTTGTTTAAGCATGCTTGTTACTTTTAATTACAAAGCAGCTTCTCATGCTCTTGCCCCAGATAACTGCACTAGCATGGCTAAATACTAATCCTCTTTAAAGAGAATCATCAGGATCTTTCCAGTTATGTTTCGAAAAGGTGGAAGTCAAAGTAGGTGAGTGAACCAAAAGAACTCTGAGCAGAAATTCAGGTCAGGTTTCAGAGCAGAACTCTTTCCTCCCCCCTCCTCCCCAATCCCCTTTGGGTATGGAATCTGGAGAGAGTTTACTGCCCAAGGGAAATTGCATACAGTGTTAAGGGAAAAGGTAAATACCGGATATAATTTTGCCCTTAACTGTTATTTAGTAATCCAAAAAGGAGCCAAAGTAGTTAGGAGTGAAAAAGAAAATAAGTGACCTGAAAAATAGGAGCAGAAGTATTACAGTCAGCACTGAAATGAGTGATTAAGCCTGTAAAAGGCAACTGAGCATACTTCACTTTAAGGTCCTGATTTTAATGTATTACAGGCCTCACAAGGAAAGTAACACTAGCTACTTGAATGTCCAATCCCTTTCATGAAAAACAGAGATACAGTTCTAGTTTTAGAGCTAGTGGAAATTGAGACACAAGGAGAGCTACAGAGTATCCCTCATAGTGAGCTGAGCAAACTTGATACCACTGAGGGTAACATAATTACTATAAGAGAACAGTTGCAGTACTGCTCAAGATTCAAGCCAGCAAAGCAGGGCATCTGCTGTTTTGGTGTTGATGTTCTAAGTTTAGCTATGATAAAATATTATTTTAATTCACTTTATGTATTTCCACATCTTCATGTTACCTTTCCGTCTTTAATTGTATCAAAACAAGCTGTCTCGATTTTTGTGGCATGCTTGTGTAGTCCCATATGACGCAACATCATTACAGCACTCAGAAGAAGGGCAGTTGGATTTGCCAAGTCTTTTCCTGCAATATCTGGTGCTGTTCCATGAACCTGAAAAGAAAAGTGAGCCTTGCTGTTACAAAGTTACTATGTTGATAAAAATGTCCTAGTTAATTCTAGTATGCGACCAACTTAAAACTGAACAAATAGTCCATAAAAGAACATGCACAAGTTTGTATGTAATACATATTCTGTTTTTTGAGTAAAATTTTTACTTTAATAGTCACATTATGTGTCATGGGAGTTTTAGATTCTCAAGTTGAGACAAAATAATTATTACTACTAGACCACTAATAAGAAGACTTACCGATTCAAAAATTGCAACTCCATTAGCACCAATGTTCCCACTCGGTGTTACTCCAAGACCCCCAATCAATCCAGCACACAAGTCACTAGAAAAAAAAAATCCACAAGTTCTTTCCACATAGTTGTTTCCCAGCAATGTATTAAAATAGCTTTGTTAATTCTCATTTTATTTTGACAATATTCTAACAAGACAGTCTAAGAATAATATTATGAAAGTATAGATCCTGTTAGCCACTTGTATTCCACTGGAACATTTGAGAACTTGCAGAACTACTAGCAAGAGAAGTTTCAATAAGGAATAACAAAAAGGAAATTCTAAATAGTAAAATAAAGCTGATTAAGACACAGGCACAACAAAAGGTACTCAAAGCACAAGAAATCTGTAAAAGCCTCAAGAACTACCAAAAATTCTGATGTATTATCTACACATACGTACATATCTAAGTCTTATTTCCCTTGAAGAAGCCACAGAACCACTTACTGTATATAAAGACCTTCTAGAAAAAATTGAATAATTTTGCTCAGTTAAGGAAATACTAGTAAAGTTTATTGTGTGAGACTTAAGGAATATGTTCCAAGTGGCACAAGACTGGCTTTACCCTTCTCTTTACTGAACAGCCTGAAAGTCATAAATCTGACATCAGCAGACCATCAGACATTAGTAATTTGCATGTAGTTTCCTCCAAAGTTAGCATAGGAAAGGACAAACCAACTCTGCCTACAGTTTTCATTCTCTACCCTCAAAGCTGAAAAAACTGATAAGGCTCTTAAAACTCTAATATTTTAGCACACTGTTTTGTTGTCTACAAGGTACCTAGTAGATGAATAAAAAGCAGATAAGTTTGGATGAGCTTGCAGAACTATCTTTTAAATTAACCTAAATTGATCAACTATAGTTTAGAATAAAAACAGATACGGTCTAAACTTGTAACTTAAGGTATTTAATGCTTCAGGATGGAGATTCCTTCTGTATATTCAGGCCAAGAAACCTTTGGCATTATGCTCATGCTTTAAAAAAGCACAGGGGGTGACTTTCTCCAGTGACACAAGTGCACTTCTTCAAAAAAGACTCAAATTTATTGAAGCTTTTTGGAAGTATGAAGTTGACAGAATTTCCACAAGAACTTTAAAACCGGCAATGCTGAACTAGGTAAAGTAAGTTGAAATAGTACCGATGATGGGACTCAAACTGATCTGACATCTTGCAATTAATAGTGCAATGTCTGCTGTGAGGGCCCTGTGGACTTCTCTACCAGTTCTTAAAACAAGAAGCATTACTTGGAGTCTGATTTTTCTTAGAGGTGACAGATGTCCTTATCAGAGGGAGAATGCTATCTTAAGAAAAGCTGAATGAACATTTCTTCTTATGCATCAGTTACTTTTACACTCATCTGTACAGAAAACAGGAGATGAACTTAAAGACTTAAGCTGTCATTTAACTTTTAATCAAACTCCAAGGCTGTTTTCTTCAATCTCTCCTTGGACATGCAAAGAGAAGCAGTGCTCTGTTATACACTGGAAAAGTTCAGATTAAGATACTTAATTTTACTAAGCAGTAGTAATTGAGTTTACATTCTACTTAAACATTTTTACAGAACGGAAAAAATGTCTGCTGATTGACTTGGCTTTCAGGACATCAAGTAACTGTAGTAATGTTTTTTAAATATGAAATTTAATCTCAAAGTGAAAAAAAAAATACAATACAAACCCCAAAAGCTGGTAGGATAGTAAGAGGCCATACATTTCAATCTTCAGAATCATTTACCTCTATGGATAGCTTGCTTTAAATGTGATATTCCCACAGTCATCTTATGTAAGTTTTCCTAATGCTTAAAAATAGCAAGTTTTTCCTACT